ACATACGTATCCAAGCGTAGTAAGGGGTCTATGGTAGAACGTCCCTTACGAAAGTAATATTGACGAGTGGAGAGACTGTTGTGTCTCTAAATACCACACTAAACGTCTATTTACTAGGCGTTCCATTACTTTGCAAACTGCACTGGTAAGAGCAATGGGACGATAGTGGGAGGTTTCATGTCCGTAGTGCTGGTTTGCGGAAAGGGAGAACAATGGCGGATTTCCACAGCTGTGGAAGAACTCCTTGTGACCAAATAAGATTGTAAAGGCGTAATAGGACTGCAAGGGCTGACTGATGTAAATGTTGTAGCATACGAATATGAATGTCGTCGGGCCCAGCTGCCGATGATCGACAAGCTGAGAGTGTTGCCTCCAGTTCTTGAAGTGTAAAAGGCACATTATACTGTTCTTCTCTGAGAGAAGAAAAGTCCAAGGGTGCTAACTCTCTGGCAGACTTTGAGGAAAGAAATGAGGGGCATAGATGGAGTCCCTGAGAAATACGGACCAGATGATTGCCAATTTCATTGGCAACATCTAGTGGGTTTGCTATATCAACACCGGCAACCCGCAGAACAGGAGCCGGGTCAGGAGAATATTTACCACTCAGTTTTCGTACTTTTTTCCAGACTGCACTCACAGAGGAAGCAGAGGTGATGGTGGAGACAATCTCGCCAGCAAGTGCGTTTAGCGTCACGGATGACACGGCGAGCGATTGCACGTTTCTGTTTAAATCAAGGAGTCGCTCTGTGGTTCTATTGTACCGGTACCTGCCCCATGCAGCGCGTTTCAAACGTACTGCACGAGCACAAGCAGGAGACCACCAAGGCACGCATTTCTGAGAATGCCTGCCCGAAGTTTGGGGTATAGAATGAGAAGCTGCGGTGAAAACAGAGGACGAGAAGAGGTGTAAAAGCTCATCGATGGAGGACGAAGAAGGAACCTCTTTAAAAACAGTTAGGTGCGAGTAAAGGTTCCAATTTGCCCGATTAAATTGCCAGCGTGGGGTGCGAAGAGGTGGCGAATATGAAGGGGAAGTAAGAATGATTGGGAAATGATCACTGTCATGTAAGTCCGGGAGAACAGACCAAGTGAAGTCTAATGCGGCGGAGGAAGAGCAAACTGAGAGATCGATGCAAGAGAGAGTATGAGTCCGAGGATCAAAATGGGTGTGAGTACCTGTATTTAAAACATGGAGGGGGTGGGTGGCAAGAAAAGCCTCTAACTGAATTCCACGGGAATCACAGTGAGACCCCCCCCCCCAGGAAATGGTGGGCATTAAAATCACCAAGTAACAGAATCGGTGGCGGTAATGACGAAACAAGGAAGGCAAAATCCGGAATAGATAATGCCCGAGGAGAGAGAGATAAAGAACAGAGCGTATACCACCTATGTAAGTGGATACGGGCTGCTGTGTAATGCAGCGAAGTATGAACAAATAGCTGATGGTACGGAATATCAGTGCGGAGAAGAAGGGCACTTTCATTAAAGGTCCCATCAGGAAAAGGATCTGTAGAATACAATAAATTATACCCTGAGATGTGAGAAATAACAGCAGAGTGTAATTTTGGTTCCTGTAAGCAAACACCAACAGGGGCAAACTGGGAGAGTAACATCTGAAGCTCACCCCGATTACCCCTGAGGCCGCGTATATTCCACTGTAAATAGGCCATGATTGGCAATGATAATAATACTTGAAATCCGCAGGTAAGGGTTCCTACGGACTAGAAGGGTTAGAAAAGTCCACATGCGGAGGCAGTGGAAAATGTTCAAGCAGCGAAGGAATGGTGCGCTGTGAAGAAAGGAGTTGCGCAGATGGAGCAGAGGAGAGAGAAAGAGCGGAAGGTGGATCAGTGTCCATTGATGGTTTGGTCTCTGCAATATATTCAGAGATTGCTTCAAGTGTTCGGAATTCAGAGATTGTCGTATGGGAGACAATATTGGGAATGGTAGGGGGAGGATGAGTAAAGATTGGAACTGTATTGGACTGTACCAAGGTAGGGGGGGGCGAAAGGGTGGAGGGAACTGGAGAAGCGTGGCAGGGGACAGAAGAGGCAGGAACCTGGGAGGTGGCAGAAGAGGAAGAAACTTGGGAGGGAACAGGGAAGGAAGGTACATTACGAGGAGGAGGGTGAACCTCTGCACTTGTAACTGAGCCAGTGAGAGGGGAAGAAACTAGGGACCAGAGACAGGGAGGGTAAAATGAGGAGGTGGAAGATGGGTAGGAGGTGTTACCGGACCTTTTTTTGACTTTTGAGAAGTAGAGGGACGATTGGGAGGAGGTGTCGTACGAGGTCTCGTCGATACTGAGGCTTGTGAGAGAGAACTCGAAGAAGCGAGATTAGACTGAGGCGTTGAAGTAGGGACGTCTGAGCTGAGGACAGCAAAAGGATTAGATACAGGAGTGATTATGGGAGAGGCAACCACAGAGGTGGGTGTAGAAGACGGGATACTAGAAGTGGGGGGACGTTTTGAAACACGGGAATAATAAACACGTGGGAGTCTCCCTTGGAGGCGGAGATGAGAAACTGCCATGGCATAAGGGAGACCTTCTGTCTCTTTGAGGTAACGGATTTCCTGCTCGTTTAAATAGACCTGACAACGGCGAGAGTACGAAGGGCGAGCCTCATGACAGTTAAGGCAAGAGGGAGATCGATTGCAAGACGTATTAGAATGGTCATCGGCACCACAGACTGGGCATTCGGCGATAGATCTGCAATATTTCGCTGGATGGCCAAATCGCCAGCAATTTCTACACTGTTGTGGTGTAGGGATCACCTTTCGAACTTGTAACCGATGTCCTGCTATATAAACTGAGGATGGGAGTTCTCGGCTGTCAAAAGTTAAACGAGCCACATTGCTAGGGTATCGTCTCCGCCCACGGGCAGGAAGAACGTAAGTGTCTACCTTGAGGATTGGGAGATCTTGGAGTTCCAGCTGTTCTAGAATGTCAGTGCCACATGTCTGGAAATTTTGTTGAACGATGGTATGGGGCAGAATGACGGTACCACTACAAGAATTGAGGGAATGATGTTTTTCAAGAGTGACAGGAACAGTATCGATATGGGAAAGACGAGAGAGCTCATGAGCCTGGGTAGCGTTCTGTACGGTAATGATGCGCGTACCGCTCTTAAGAGCATGAAAAGAAATATCTTTACCAACATGGCGTAGGAGTGCCTTGCCAATACTATGGTCAGAAAGATAGGCAGTAGAAGAAGTTGGTCGTAAAGTGAAGAATTTAGCCCACTGTTCAGTCTGAAACTGAGCGTGGAAAGGTAGTGAAGGACGTGTCGATCGTTTCTGAGAACGAGAAGGTGGAGAAGTATCATCAGCAGGTAATTGTCGTTGGCGTTTAGGCGTGGGACCAGAGTTGGTCCGACGTGGAACGGGTCGGCGATTTGAAAATTGCCGCACCGTAGAGGGAGAGGCCGGAAGCATAGTCAGAGGAGAGCGAAGGTCCGATAAATCGAAGCAGTCAGTCGAGGCCTCAGTACCTGAAGCGGGTGAGGAAACAGCACCGGCAATAGGTACAGAGGCATGAGGAATGTCTGAAGAGTGGTCCAAAGACGAGGCGGGGTCAGAACGGGGTGCGGTATCAAGAAGGGGCCCGGGGGTACCAGGTTCATGGACTAGGGCTGCCATGGTTAGGTTACTTTTCTTTTTGTTTTTAAGAAAAAAAAAAAAAAGAAAAAAATAAAAAGAAAAAAAAAAAGGGGGGACCGGGGAGGGATAGGTCCTAGGAGGAATGAAAGGGCCAGAAATCTCCCTCTGCGCCCAAGAGGACCTCAGCACCGCAAGTAGCGCAGATGCAGCATGGAACCTGTGCCATACCCTACCAATCATGCTAGTAAACTAACAATCCGGGATAGCAACCTCACATCTGCCGAGCTACCTCGGTGGACAAAAGAGAGGGCGGCCGGATATCCGCCACAAAGCATACCTCCTTTGGCCACCACCCCCGGAATCCGAAAGGTGGCTTCCAGAGATACACTCGTCGCCCGAAAGACACCCAAAGCTACTCCGGGATACCGGAGAGGGATCGGGACATCCCCAGGCGATCCAGATTCCACGGCAAACTACGCCACCGCTAAGAACCTCAACGGAATGGGATGGACCCCGGTATCCTTTCTCCTACCTAGGAACTAGCGTGTCTGTGGGAGAAATCCCAAAGGACAAAAAGAGGAAGGGCAAAAAGGGAGGAGTAGGGAGGAGGAGGAAAGGAAAAAGGGGAGGATGGGATAGGGGAGGGGAGATTGGGGGGTAATTAGGTTCGGTCTGAGGAAGAAGACCGATAGGTCTAATTCCTCAGACCAAGAGCCTCTTCACCACGTCAAGGAGCCCCCCTTGAAGAGGAATGCAGCCACTAGCCGTATCATTATAATCACAGGGAAGCGCTAAACCCATAGAATTATACAGCGCATGTGGGGGGGATGGAAGGTATTCAGGCTCAATTCAGGGGACCGGAACAGATCCAATTCCCTAGATCAAGAGCCCCTCACCAGCATCAAGGAACCTCTCTTCAGAGGCCAGTAGGTGCAGGGAATCTTGAAAACACCCAGCTTCAAGTTGCCAGGCCAGTATAACTCATGGACAAACATGCCAGGGTAGGGTATTATTTAGAATATTGGGTGCCTTCCACCCAGTGTACTTTTAATGAAAAGTACTGTACACCTAACATCCCTAAAGTGATGTCTTAAATTGAATTTACCGAGTGTCACTATACTTGGGTTAAGCAATTATAATAAAGTGCTAAACCCACTAGGGTCACACAGCAAGAGGAAAGCAACAGATAAGTTTATCTTTCATCTTCATACAGCCTTGGTTATCTGATTATCATCAAAAAAAGAAGTACTAAACCTACTAGGGTCATACAGTGCTGCTGGGTAGGAACTGATGTAGGATCTAAGGATAAGTAAGGGTGGAGAGGATAGAGGCAAGGTTACGAAGGGATGTGAAAAGTGCTAAAGGAAGGATTATCAAATTTTGTATTAAAAAATACAGCATTTCATTAATTTGTGCTTTTATTGATGTGTTAAAAAGAACTTCATAAACGGCAACATTAACATTCATAAATTCGTTACTCGGCTGTGTCTTCTACATTAGACATTTCTTTACAATATGATTAAGCTTAAAAAAAAAAATTAAAACAAGGTTGATAAAATGTTGCATTTTGAGTACAGATGACTAAAATTTTATATATAAAAAATCAATACAAACATTTACTTCTGAAATATAACTACAAGAAAACTTTAGCGGTATATAGCCAAGATCACGCATCACAACCTGCCACAGCTTCAAAGCAAACCATTCTGACCTCACTCAGCTATTGGTTATGTATTACCTATTTGAAGTAGCAGGTGTTGAGCTCAAGCTTTGGGTTCACCTCAGCAGTTAACCGATGTGAATTACTTTAATCATTTACACTATCGCTTTATAGTGTTTAATTATACTATCGTATAACTTCATCTTCTAAGAAGTTCTTGCAATAAAATACCGACTCCTGTAAGTGTTATACAGTTTCTATCAGTATCTTGCATACCATATTTATGCCCATATCACACAACCTCTTATTTTGTGTTAATCCAGACAAGAAATATATTGGACTTTTCTAATTAATGTGTCAACTAATGTTAAACCACATTTTTATTACAGAAGTGCAGGTTTGTATTGCAACATTAACAAATGAAAGAAGCACAGCTGTAAAGCATCTGGGAAGAAAGACAACAGAAGTCTATAGACATGACATGTTTGATACAAGTTGCTGAAGAGGAATTTCCTGTAGTGTTAAATGAAAATACACAAGTAAAATAAAATGAATCCACTTTTATACAGCCTACTTATATACAATTTGTGGATGTGGGTATGAGGATTTCCAGAACTATTTCCTGAAAACACTGTCATGCACGAGGCAGATGAACACTGAACCAAAACACTCGAGTGAAGCTGCTAGTGAACACAACTAGTAACAGTAATACAAGGTGTTCATGGACAGTGGCTGGCTGCCTTTCTACACTGATTAACTGGGCAAAAGAAAAAAAAAAAAGCTCTGATACAGAGCATATAAAAATTGTGACCAATTTATCCTCTAAATGAACTACCACTTTACATTTTTATCAATTTCACAATTAAGAATATTCAGTGACAAATGCCAGGTATTTCATAGTTGGAAGAAATATCACTATTACAAAAGGACAGATTCATAATTCAGAATGATTTAACCAAACAAATTTAAATCAATATACTGTCATTTTCAAAAGAATGTGGAATGTAAATTTTGCAATATGCCATTCATACACTCGCTGCTAAAAATCTCTTCCAACTTTAATTATACATTAATGATGACAAATTACCTGGCATGTAGTATCTTTTTGATGTTACGAGACTAAGAACAATCATATACCAATGGCTTCACCTTTTCATATTTTAAATGCTCAATTTAAAAAGGAAAAATATTTGCCTTAATAAAAGTATTGGGTCAGTAACGCTGACAGCTAATACTGTAAATAAAATATGTTAAGTTCAAGCAGTTTTCATCCTTGGATCAATATAAAAAAATAATACCAAGAGAGCTGAGATTTTTGAGTGAACTAATTTATGTTCTATAGAGGAAAAGTTGCTCATCATTTTTTTTTGGCCAAGATTAGCATATATATTTTTTCATAATAAATACAAAATAGAAGAGCACAATTCTCCAAGATATCAATCTCCTTATTTTTTAGGGCATTATTATACAATAAATATCACAATGTAAGCCTACTTAACATAGTAAACCAGCTTAGTACCACATTTTATGCAAAGTTTGTGAACAAGCATCGGGTTATTGTAACACTGAGCAGTAATATTTAATGCAGCATCTTAAAGCTTAAGTCAATGAACCAAGGTGAGCCTTTAATGAGTGCTTGCAGTACCTTTAAAGAACATAGATGAAAATTTATCCATTCTTATCAACTACATTAGGTTTTCTCTTCTGTGACATTTCTAACATATTGAAAATTTAAATATAAAATCATGAGGTACACGTGACCAATTAAAACACTAAACTTATACATTTCATCACCACCACAAACCTCTTTCAGCTATCGACTAGTTTACAAAGTGGTGTATACCCTAAAGCATTAAAAATAGTGTTTCAATGAAACCTTTTTGATAAAACAAACACGCACACACGCGCACTACACTTTTCATTCCACAATTCATTCGACCAATATTCTCTCAATTCTCAAAATTACTTTGTCTCCACAAACACCAACTAAGTCTTCATCCCTTTTGATATTTTAATCACAATCATTTGAAACCTAGCAATTAACACCTTGCAAGGCATAACTTTAAAAGTGTATCTAGCCAGATGCAAAGTTACATAAGCACCAAATGTACTTAAGAGACTATTACAGCAATTGAAAATTAGAAACTTTTCCAGAAAATACCATACTGTTTTCTCCATTTTCCTTTTATATATTATCAAGTATAAATGCCAATAAAAGTAAACTAGCTTGACTATACAAATAAAATATGGGCTGCCAAACCATGATTGCTTCTATATGGTAATGAAATTACTACTAACAGCTGCAGATTATTCCAGCAAGCTGCAGTATAAGATAAATGTTAATACAGTATTATTATAAAGCCATGGTATAGCTCCCCTTTAGTTACAAGAAATTTAACACAAATTTACACTATAAACCACACCCCAATGTTGCAATAGTAACCATGTTTATGAAAACTAAAATTACTGCTCACCTTAGCATACAACACAAACTATTGTGTCAAAGTAAATGTTAACTAAAATCTTACACAAGATGCTTGTTCAAACTGACATACCTTTATCAATTTTGTTTTAAAGATCAGAAGAGAGGTTATGAATGAAGCCAATTACTAGTTATCTGAATTGAAAACTACCATAGTAATTTTTAAATAATGCAGTTTCATTAAGAGTGCTCCATCAGTAACTGACAAGGGATGAAGTGTAAACCTCCAAGAAAAACCGGCAATAATAGAGCAAACGATATTAAATGGCGAAACAAGAATACCAATCTCCAATTTCAAGATAAAAGCTAGGTATGCCAAACACTTTCAGTTACTACAACAGGAAGGCATTAATCACAGATCTTGGGGTTTGTATTTCCCATTTCTAAAGGGGGCTTGTATGAATGGTTTCAAAGCTTGCATTTAGGTATAAATGGGAATGGCAATTTACATTTGAATATATATATTATTTCATTTTACTTCAGTTGTGTGCTGCTCACACTAAATTATAAGTGCATTACACCGAGCAGATTAATGTCAAATAATGTAGTTTTCAAACTATGCATAGAAAATACGTTTAAGCACAGTCTGTGCGCACCAGTGGATGGATTATTGACCAACGAGGATTTACATTTGCTGACGACGTGAAAGCTGTTCTTCTTCCTCAAGTTGGTGTCTTAATTTAGTCACACGATCACGAAGCTGAGTCCACCATTCCATATTTTCTAACACAACATCTTCCAACTGCTGAGCATAAGCTGCAACAAAAAATTTTGTTTTTAAACATTCATGAACATATTCTAAAATCATTAACTTGGCTACAACAATATATATTAAATAGCTAAAGATGACAGTTTTCAAGGAATTTACCAAAATAATGTACTTCAGGTCAGGGGTTTCAAATAGAGTTAGAGCTAAAGAAGGAGTAGCAATAATGTTGAAGGATAAGCTATGGCAGGAAAAGAGGGACTGTAAATGTATTAATTCAAGGATTATGTGGAGTAAAATAAAGATTGGATGTGAGAAGTGGGTTATAATAAGCGTGTATGCACCTGGAGGAGAGAAGTGTACAGAGAAAGAGAGATATTCTGGGAAATGTTGAGTGAATGCGTGGGGAGTTTTGAATCAAGTGTGAGAGTAATGGTGGTTGGGGATTTCAATGCTAAAGTGGGTAAAAATGTTATGGAAGGAGTAATAGGTAAATTTGGGGTGCCAGGGGTAAATGTCAATGGGGAGCCTTTAATTGAGCTATGTGTAGAAAGAAATTTGGTAATAAGTAATACATATTTTATGAAAAAGAGGATAAATAAAAATACAAGGTATAATGTAGCACGTAATGAAAGTAGTTTATTAGATTATGTATTGGTGGATAAAAGGTTGATGGGTAGGCTCCAGGATGTACATGTTTATAGATGGGCAACTGATATATCGGATCATTACTTAGTTGTAGCTACAGTTAGAGTAAGATGTAGATGGGAAAAGAGGAAGGTGGCAACAACAAGTAAGAGGGAGGTGAAAGTGTATAAACTAAGGGAGGAGGAAGTTCGGATGAGATATAAGCGACTATTGGCAGAAAGGTGGGCTAGTGCAAATATGAGTAGTTGGGGGGGGGGGGGGGTTGAAGAGGGTTGGACGAGTTTTAAAAATGCAGTATTAGAATGTGGGGCAAAAGTTTGTGGTTATAGAAGGGTGGGGGCAGGAGGAAAGAGGAGTGATTGGTGGAATGATGAAGTAAAGGGTGTGATAAAAGAGAAAAAGGTAGCTTATGAGAGGTTTTTACAAAGCAGAAGTGTTATACGAAGAGCAGAGTATATGGAGAGTAAAAGAAAGGTAAAGAGTGGTGAGAGAGTGCAAAAGGAGAGCAGATGATAGAGTGGGAGAGGCACTGTCAAGAAATTTTAATGAAAATAAGAAAAAATTTTGGAGTGAGTTAAACAAGTTAAGAAAGCCTAGGGAAAGTATGGATTTGTCAGTTAAAAACAGAGTAGGGGAGTTAGTAGATGGGGAGATGGAGGTATTAGGTAGATGGGGAGAATATTTTGAGGAACTTAAATGTTAAGGAAGAAACAGAGGCAGTAATTTCATGCACTGGTCAGGGAGGTATACCATCTTTTAGGAGTGAAGAAGAGCAGAATGCAAGTGTGGGGGAGGTACGCGAGGCATTACGTAAAATGAAAGGGGGTAAAGCAGCTGGAACTGATGGGATCATGACAGAAATGTTAAAAGCAGGGGGGGATATAGTGTTGGAGTGGTTGGTACTTTTGTTTAATAAATGTATGAAAGAGGGGAAGGTACCTAGGGATTGGCGTAGAGCATGTATAGTCCCTTTATATAAAGGGAAAGGGACAAAAGAGACTAAAAATTATAGAGGAATAAGTTTACTGAGTATACCAGGAAAAGTGTACGGTAGGGTTATAACTGAAAGAATTAGAGGTAAGACAGAATGTAGGACTGCGGATGAGCAAGGAGGTTTCAGAGTGGGTAGGGGATGTGTAGATCAAGTGTTTACATTGAAGCATATATGTGAACAGTATTTAGATAAAAGTAGGGAAGTTTTTATTGCATTTATGGATTTAGAAAAGGCATAGGTGGAATAGGTGATAAGTTATTAAATGCTGTAAAGAGTTTTTATGAGGATAGCGAGGCTCAGGTTAGGGTGTGTAGAAGAGAGGGAGACTACTTCCCGGTAAAAGTAGGTCTTAGACAGGGATGTGATGTCACCATGGTTGTTTAACCCTTTGACTGTCGCGGCCGTATATATACGTCTTACGAGGTACCGTGTTTGACGTATATCTACTCATAAATTCTAGCGGCTTCAAATCAAGCAGGAGAAAGCTGGTAGGCCCACATGTGAGAGAATGGGTCTGTGTGGTCAGTGTGCACCATATAAAAAAAATCCTGGAGCATGCAGTGCATAATGCGAAAAAAAAAACTGACCGTTTTTTTTAATTAAAATACCGACTTTGTGGTCTATTTTCGTATAGTATTTATGGTTGTATTCTCGTTTTCTTGGTCTCATTTCATAGAATGGAAAACATATTATAGAAATAGAGGTGATTTTGATTGATTTTACTATAAAAAGAACCTAGAAATGGAGCTCAAAGAAGGGGAAATGTTTGATTTTTGCCAATGTTCAAAAGTAAACAAATGATGCCATTGTCCAATAAATGTCCAACTAGCCATTCTAATATGCAGTCATGAATGAGTTGATGTTATTTATACAATTATTACAGTATTGCAGTAGTCTGCATAATAGTAAGTCTTCAATTTTTTGTTTGAATAAAAATTCAAAATAGAAAGCAAGAGTAATATCAGAGGGGCCTGGAGACATGACTGATGAACAAAGAAAATGTTATTTTAGAGCCAGGAATGTCTGCATTGTTCATTCTGAACCTTATTTTGAAATTGTCATTTTTTAGTTTTCGTGAAATTGGCCAAATTGCAAATTTCTGACCACATTATTAGGTAGTTGAAATCGGTAAATGGGCAGTTTCTTGTACTCAATCGATAGAAAAAATGGAGTTCTAAAGAAATAGCTATGAGTTTGGTCGACTGGAACAATGGAATTAGCCGAAAATAGGGCTCAAAGTGGGCGAAATCGCCGATTTGTAAACAGCGCCGAGGTCGCTAACTTCGCGAGAGCGTAATTCCGTCAGTTTTCCATCAAATTTCGTTTTTTTTTTGGTGTCATTACAATCGGGAAAAGATTATCATTTCATAAGAATTTTTTTTTTTTTTTTTTAAATTTTGCGACACCAGGAGACACCTCAGGATTGGGGGTTGCGACAGTCAAAGGGTTAATATATTTATAGATGGGGTTGTAAAGGAAGTAAATGCTAGGGTGTTCGGGAGAGGGGTGGGATTAAATTTTGGGGAATCAAATTCAAAATGGGAATTGACAGTTACTTTTTGCTGATGATACTGTGCTTATGGGAGATTCTAAAGAAAAATTGCAAAGGTTAGTGGACGAGTTTGGGAATGTGTGTAAAGGTAGAAAGTTGAAAGTGAACATAGAAAAGAGTAAGGTGATGAGGGTGTCAAATGATTTAGATAAAGAAAAATTGGATATCATATTGGGGAGGAGGAGTATGGAAGAAGTGAATGTTTTCAGATACTTGGGAGTTGACGTGTCGGCGGATGGATTTATGAAGGATGAGGTTAATCATAGAATTGATGAGGGAAAAAAGGTGAGTGGTGCGTTGAGGTATATGTGGAGTCAAAAAATGTTATCTATGGAGGCAAAGAAGGGAATGTATGAAAGTATAGTAGTACCAACACTCTTATATGGGTGTGAAGCTTGGGTGGTAAATGCAGCAGCGAAGAGACGGTTGGAGGCAGTGGAGATGTCCTGTCTAAGGGCAATGTGTGTTGTAAATATTATGCAGAAAATTCGGAGTGTGGAAATTAGGAAAAGGTGTGGAGTTAATAAAAGTATTAGTCAGAGGGCAGAAGAGGGGTTGTTGAGGTGGTTTGGTCATTTAGAGAGAATGGATCAAAGTAGAACGACATGGAAAGCATATAAATCTATAGGGAAAGGAAGGCGGGGCAGGGGTCATCCTCGAAAGGGTTGGAGAGAGGGGGTAAAGGAGGCTTTGTGGGCAAGGGGCTTGGACTTCCAGCAAGCGTGCGTAAGCGTGTTAGATAGGAGTGAATGGAGACGAATGGTACTTGGGACCTGACGATCTGTTGGAGTGTGAGCAGGGTAATATTTAGTGAAGGGATTCAGGGAAACCGGTTATTTTCATATAGTCAGACTCGAGTCCTGGAAATGGGAAGTACAATGCCTGCACTTTAAAGGAGGGGTTTGGGATATTGGCAGTTTGGAGGGATATGTTGTGTATCTATACGTGTATGCTTCTAAACTGTTGTATTCTGAGCACCTCTGCAAAAACAGTGATAATGTGCGAGTGTGGTGAAAGTGTTGAACACTATTCAAAGTGTTTTACACATTCTGCAATCCATATCAATTATTGGTTGTGTCACTGACAGTATCACCAAATTACACACGGGGGAAAATATCCCTACTATGCTGAAAGATATTTTGGGTAGAGATAGTGGGCAGTGGCACTCCTGAGAAAATCTCTACCCCCAAGGCATAAACCACCCTCACTCCTCTACAAAGTTAAGGTAACCCATCACTGGCAAGTTGACAGCAAGGTGAAAAATAATTACTTATATTTTAGCAATACTCCACAGGGAAGTAGATAAGAATCCTTCCTCCATTAGCCATGCATTTCATAAGAGGCAACTAAAATGTTGGGAGTAATGGGGCTAGTAACCCCTTCTATAAAAAAAAAAAAAAAAAAAAAAAATCCATGGCTAGTAAGTTCTAGAACAAGCAGGGTAGTGCCCGAACAGTTGTACTGTGCCAGTCTAATAAGATCCGTCTAACTAGGCATATTTCTTTACCTGCATCATGGACACTAGTAACCACAACGTAGGTTTTCGCATATGAATCTCACACCAGCATGGCTGTGACAAGTTCTTAACTCAATTCCCTTCAAAGCTGTTGTCAAATGACTCTTGAAATCTTAACATAAATGTAAACAACTCTCAATGGGCAGCCAATCCTAGAGTATAGAAATATACCTAGTTGGATCCTTTTAACCCAGCATGGTACAGTGGTTACAGCATACTAGTTTTAGGGCAGGCTCACCATAGATTTAAACCCCATTCATTCTGCAAGACTATCTATACTCACCATCTACATCATAATCTACTTCATTTGTCATCTGGTAGAGAGGAATAAGCATCTTGTCCATTTTATCCCGGTGAGCAAAGTACTGACCATGTAGATCCACAACTTCCTCTTCTGCTTCTTGCACAGCACCCATAGCAACCTGGAATGCTTGCTGGTCTGCACTCATCTCATTATCCTGGTAAATATATAATGAAAGAAAAGGTAAAAGTTAAATATTTTTGAAATCCTGATCTGCTATTCTTACTGGGGAAAAAAAAAAAACTATTCATTGCCCAACACCTATCAGCTTTCTAGATAATTTTTTTTAGAAGCCTACAGAGGTATGCTTAACTTGAATAACTGGCATCCACTGTTAAAAAGAAGTCTTATTTAACATGCTATGATATCGTAAAAGATTCTTTAATTAAAGACAAACCCTCCAACTTTAACTGGAAGGGGGGGGGGGGGGTCCCATCAATTTCTCAACTTTTAAAAATTAATATTCTAAAAATGGTCAAAAGAAGGGTCTAAAGAATATTTTCTTTGAACAACCTGCCTTGCCATGGCAAGAGACTGCCAAAGGGGAAAAACAAAATTGTGTTTTACATTCAGAATGAAAATCTCAATGCTACAATTGCATTTTTCTTTTGTAATAACCTTGTCAAGAATAAACTGAACATTTTGGCCAATTCTAGGCAACTCTTTCAATTTTATGATTCTGGATAGACAAACTCTCGTTTTCACCAGCAATTTACTCCGTATTAGGTAAAAAACTGCACACATTTGTTCCGTTTAAAAAAAAAAAAAAAAAAAAAAATGCTAAAAATAATTTAATTGAAGGGCAAACAAACTTTTACAGGAAAATAAACTCACATTTAAATTAGTTAAAGTTGTGTAATCTGTATCACTGATGCCATTTTCGTCTGGTTCCTTTTCTGTTGCTGAAGATTTGTAGCCACCTTCGACATTATCACCAATTCCTAATTCTTTTACACGGTCGGCATACCTAATAAAATAATTCATCATCATTTTAGTACGTAGTCAAATCATAACTAACATTAACACAAGTCATGAGTAATCAACTAATAAGACAGGGTTTGTAAAGTTGGTAGTGAATGCAGTTAAGCTTCCTCCTAAAATTTGATTTTTCTTTCAAATTCCTTTAGGAATTTGTTAGCAATGCAATGTAGAAGACAGTTAAATTGCCAGAAAAAAAAGGGGGAAGGGGGGTCTTACTACATTTCTCACACAGGTAAATAAAAGCAATATCAACAAAATCACTCAAAACACACCTCATACTTGTCATCCTACAAAACAAGCTTTTTAAGGTGAATAGAATATACTTTGGGTAAGAGTGAGGAAAGAGCAAATGCAGTGGAAGTTCAACTTGTAATAAGGGTAAAATTAAAGACAATACGTTATGTAAAACATTGTCTGCAAATGAAATTAAATACGCTTGACATCGGACTTATGGCCTGTGTGACATAAGCCACTCAACTTATGACAGTTTTGGCAGCCCTGCTGCCAGACGCACAGTCAAACACAGCAGTATAATGTGATCCTTTATTGACAATGTTTCACCCACACAAGTAGAGATGCTAGTATTACAAGTTATACATGTGGTGGAAAAGTCAGCTGGTACATGAGAAAGGCTACAAAAGCTATGGTTGGGCAAATGTATATAGCTGGATGGATTTGAGAAGGCATGCCCAGTTTGGGCCAACAGGCCTGCTACAGTGTTTCTCCTTTCTTATGTTCTTATGTAATAGGGAAGGGACACTGAAACATGGTTTACAAGATTAAGATTTAATTTTTGAAGAATCCCTATCAGCAATTTTCTAAGGTTCAACTTGTGTCCATTTTGACTTACAACCAGTTGGTCAGAACCAAGCTTGGTTGCAAGTTGGATGGTACTGGTACACAGATATAGAATAGAGAATGAAATATTAAAAATTCTAATAATACCATTTTACACGAAAGGGACGACGCTATCAACCAAGAATTGCAAAGCAAATCTAAGACGTAAAAGTTTGCAATGACCAAACTAACCTTAACGTATTTAATGTATGCTCACAGCAACCCATTCCTGGAGATATCATTGCAATCATACATGTCCTGCTCTTGTCTCCTATGAAGGAATCACGTAGGACTTGAGTTAATTTGGAGGCACGGAAAGGCAAGTGTGCTCCTTTACGACCAAGAGCACGGATACACTCTTTTAGAGCTAAGAGAGATTTATTGATTTCTGCGCCTTCCATTCCTGTGAATTAAAAACAAATTCTAGAATTTTAGGGTTTGTCAAAATAAAAAAAATTCTAGTAACAAGGTAAAAATTTTAATTATTAGCATTAAATTATACAACTAGAACCTCTGCAATTTTTTTTTTTTAACACACCAGCTATCTCCCACCAACGTACAGTAGTATACATTATAAAAGTTATATTTTGAAGTCGTTCAAGGTATTGCAATATGCCATATCTGAGTCATCTGGAGATGACATTAACTTTTTTGTCATTTATTAGGTTAATTAATTTCATGACCTTAAATCTTGTATATGCACCTTCCCCTGAAAATACAATGATCATTCAACTTGTATTTAATGGTGCTGAAATATTTTGTGAATCAACTTAGAAGAAATGGGAGGAATGGTACAAATTAAAGAAAATTTGGAACCAGAATGCTAAAACTATCAAAGTCAGATTTAGAGCACAATGTAAAACCCATTCCTTCACAATAATGCATAACCCATTCATATACAATATTGCATAAAGCATTTTTGTGAGGAAAACTCAATTCCAACATCAGTACAAGAAAAATTATAAACTACTTACTCGTCTGTCTGTTAGCACTGGAAGTGTCAGCTCCCCTCTCATTACCAGCCAAGTCAATGAGTGAGAACTTGCCATGAAGTTTGTAAGCTTTATCTCCTTGCTTCTCTATTTTATCCAAATTTCTTAAAATTATCTGTCAAAAATAAACTAATGAATATTATCCTCTGTAGCATAACTTAGCAAGTATGACAATATTATGTTAGCAATGCCAGGAACAAGAGTGAGAATAAATGGGAACTGAGGCATGGAAGAGGAGAGGAGTGAAGGGGACAAGATGGGAAGGGTGTTTGAAGAGAGGTAACAAAAGCAAGAGGTGGAAAGGGTAACAAGGAGTGAGACGGCAAAAGGAATAGGATTGAAAGGAGAGAAATGAGGAGGGGGAAATAAGAGGGGGGAGGGGGGGAGTAAAAGGTAAAATAAGAAGAGTATGGGAAAAAATAGGAGAGAAGGGGGTAGCTAGATAATTTCAATACTTGAAAAAACAGACTGTAGATAATTCAGCACTTTTGGTAATAAACAATACATGCAACACAAAAATAAAATGAAATAAAAATGCCTGACATGAATTAAACTCAGCATTTTTTTATTACACACCAGCAGTCTACCTCCAAAGTAGGGTGACCCAAAAGAAGAAATGCTTTCACTATCACTGTCTTGCCAGAGGTATGCTGATACTATAGCTCAGATGCCCTTCCAAACTCAAAATATCTCTGCCCCTCCTACAGAGTGCAAGCACTACTTCCCACCTCCAGGACTCAAGTCCAGAATAAATTTACAAACAAGCATTCTAGGTTCGAACCTATGAACTTCAACAAGGAAGACGAGATTGTATTGGGCACAAGCTATGAGAGGCTGAAATCAAACTAACAACGCTGTAGGACAACAACCAAGAGACATGATAGCATACAAAATACTGAAGAGTTGATGGGGCAGATAGGGACAAGCTGAGAAATAGGAAACGGGTACTCAGGGATACAGGAGGTACTACTACAGTCTCATGGTGGGAATTAAGTGGAATGACTGACAAAATGGGAGACATGTTCCATACGCAGTTTTTAGAGTAGGTATGCGGAAGCCCACAAGGCTAGAAGGGAATCTGGCAAGTAGCAAGTTGAAAGAGGGGCCTAGGAGTGAAGATTTGACCTCCAGCAACTACACAAGTACATACATGTGAGAGGAGATAACATGAGAAGGAACAATGTTAAAAGACAAGAGGGGATCACTGTACTTGCACAAAACATTAATGAAACTGCAACATTAAGTTCTTGCCAAAAAAATTACAATAGTACTAGGTACTGTGTGAAATGACACTTAAAATATTAAACTACACCAGGAATGAGAATGGCCTGGCAATACATCCAGAGACGTTCAGGTGCAGGCAGTGAGGGTTGGGTGGGAGGAGGGGGAGCGAAGTTTTCATTTTAAATTTAGGTGCTTTCAAGACAAATTCTAGGCACTGTATTAAATTCTTAAAAGCCTTCATCAAATTTGCACGAGTTGATTAGTGGGAGAAAACTACACGGGAAACAGATCTACAAGATATTCATAAGTCTATAATAAACATCACCAGGTCATCAAAATCAGAGTGCAGGTTTCAAAATTTTGCCCCACAAAATATCAAAGATATTTACTGCATGTTAGATTTCAGGTACATCTTGCTACTTACACTTAGGTCACACTACACATACATGTACAAACATATATATACACATTCCTCTGGATTTTCTTCTATTTTCTTTCTAGTTCTTGTTTATTTCCTTTACCTCCATGGGGAAGCAGAACAGAATTCTTCTTCCATAAGCCATGTGTGTTGTAAGAGGCGACTAAAATGCCGGAAGCAAGGGGCTAGTATATCTGTATATATTTCTTAATGTAAAAGGAGAAACTTTCCTTTTTCCTTTTGGGCCACCCCACCTCAGTGGGATACAGCCTGTGTTGTTGCTCTACTAATACAACTAGTGAAGACTAAAGTATTAATTACAATTTTGGAATCGACTGATTCTAGTCTATTTAGCAAATTTATTAAATTTCGATTAGCTATTTTATGTTCAGATGAGAATGGTGACATGTTCAGTGCCTAAGTCAGCACTGATCATTGTAGAAATATTTGTTTAAATGACGATGGCTCACCTGGAAGACTGCATGAGAACGTGAAGATTGATTATTGGCAGCAGTTTGACCAGAAGTACGCACTTGAGAACCTAAACTAATGAGTCGGAGAACATCATCCACATTCTCACACACCCGTTCTTGCAGACCAACCACCTGTACCACATTCTTGCCATCTTCAAGTACACGAAGTTTAGTCTTGCTATTTAGAAGATCAAAAACCTGTTGATGTAAGTTATCAAAAAGAAGGAAATTAAAACCTAAAAACAATAAACCTGGCAATATAATGAATCCACTTAGAAACCTTAAGACTGTACATCCATCTCTAAAGTTTTTTTTTTTCCTCAAATATTTGAGAAAAACATTCCTGAACTCCCAAACTTAGTTAACTGGCACCCACTTAATCTAAGTTGCACATTTAAAGAAACAACAATGATTAGTAGACAGGTTGCTGACCTATATAATAGAGGTCATACTTAAAATGTCAGTAAATTGAAGTTTTCACCCTACTTTTTTTTGGGGACAAGCAAAAAAAATTTTTTATTCAATAGTTGATAGTGAACATGCAAAATACATGAATCTTACCTTACCACCATAGATCTCAAAAAAACTAGCTGAAACTTGTAAATTTAGTTGTCTATACTTTGGATTCTTCGTGAAGATAAATACATCCTTTGCCACCATGGCATATATTCCTTTTGCGCAATCTTGATTCTTGCCCTGAAAATCTCCACCCATTGTGTGAGTTTTGCCAGATCCTGTCTGTCCATATGCAAAACAAGTTGCCATGCCACCTTCAAAAATTGTCTGAACTAACGGTCTTGCAGTGTACCTGTTTAAGTACAATATTAATCATTTACCCTCCTAACACATTTCATTTACCCGTAAACAGTCCAAACGTATATATACGTTTTTTCAACATTTAAAAGTATGTAAAAAAGTAGATCTTTGTTTTTTTACATTTGAAAATGTGTAAAAAAACGTAGATCTACTTTTGTAGCAATACACGTGTGAACGTAGATCTGCTTGGACCATTTACGGGTTAATAATGGTAAGGAATACAAGTGTCAATAACAGATTAATGTATACTTTATGGAATCCATGATCCCTTAGTAATAGGGGAAAGTACAATTACATTTAATATTAAGCCTTAAGTTTTTAAGCTTCAGGTTTTAAAAATGTTCCTTATGTTAAGGCGAGTCGCAGACACTGCCTAGAGATCTCTAAATAAACATTAACTTCTAAAATAGAGATTAAAGTCAAAGTATTTTTGACAATAAGCCAAACACCAGAGAACTTCAGTAGTTTAAGCATCTAGAGCCAAAAGATGAAAATTTTCTGAAACTATCAAAAACTTAAAATTCCAACTGCCGAGTTAACTTAAGGTAACGAGTTATTCGACTGCATAGAAATCAAATTCACTGCCAAAACAATACAAAGGTAAAAATAAGAAGAAATTACTAGAAATTACCAGGGCTCTAGTAAGATGGAACAAGTAGCAGCTAAGTACTCATAAGTCAAAGTGGGGGAAAAAAAAAAAAAAAAAAAAAAAAAGTGTAGCTGATTATAAAAAATATAGGTCATATGTTTAATGAAAGGAACTTGCAGAAATGGAAGTAATCCTATAACCTTAAATTACTGGTAGAGTATATCATAATTGATTCAGTCATGAAGTCTCGCTGTATATGCTTATGTGCAAAAACAACAAATACAAGAAAATAGCAGAAATCAAATCAAAGTAGAAATACTAGAAAACTGAAATGTACACAAACAAAAAATAATGTATGAAGATGAATATGTAACAAGGTATATTATACCAACAAATGAATAAGACAGATGATACAAGATGTTAGGAAACCTTTAGTAGACAAAATTCACTCCTGGTGAGCAAAACTTGTCCAAATGAGCTTTCCCAACATTGCATCCTTCTCAAAGTAAAATCTGGAATGTGGGGAATGGAGAGGAGGAGCAATGGGGTAAATGGAAGGTGAAGTTTCTTCACAATTGATTTTTAAGTGTTTATTTCGTAAAATGTTAATGGGAGAGGGGGGGGGGTCCAAATTATATATGTATGGATAGACTGAAGCCTACAAATTAAACTATTCCAACTTACTTGTAAACTAGGTCATTATGGCAGGTTTCATCAAAAGCGTAGTCAAATCTGAAATTTTGATTTTCCAGGTATTTCGTTAGATCTACTTTCGTTCGTGGTTCATGAACATATAGCGTGTTTCTCTTCGGAATGGTGATTACATCTATTTCTCTTTTACTTTGCTCTGGAAAAAAAAAAAAAAAAAAAAGGAGTAAATTCTTACTAGATACAGCAACTTCATTATTTCTTTTTTCTTTTTTTTTTAACACCGGCCGCTTCCCAACAAGGTAGGGCGAACTAAAAAAAAAAAAAAAACATGAAAGTTTTTCTTTTTACATGTAATAATTTACACAGAAGGGGTTAATGGCAAATTTAAGCAAGAAATATGGTTGGGTTGCAATTTAAGTGTCTTGCACAAAGTTGAAAGGAAATAAGACGCCCTAAATGAAGTTGAATTGCACAAACAATTGGGATTAGGGGGGAAGGGGAGGGAGGCAATAGCAGATACAGGTTCACGTGATAATGGTTCACAACATGCTGAAATATCGTCAGTTGCATCTCCAGTTTGAGGATTAGTTTTTTTTTTTGTCCTCCTCCTCCTCCCAACTATTCCCTGGAAGACCCTCTGCACCTACCTACCACTCCATATCCATACACCATTTTCACCCTATTCCCTCTCCATCCCCTGTACATACGGTCCTAATTCTCAGACTAAGACCTGTTCACTGTTATTATTACTGAAAAGGTTGGTGGATGAATTTAGGAGGGTATGTAAAACAAAATTAAAACAATTTAGGTAATGAAAGACTGGATCTCATAGTGAAAGGATGGAGAAAGTGAATGTGCTCATATATATATGTATTTGGGAGTGGACTTATCGGCAGATGGGTATACGAAAGAAAGAACCATAGAATCGACGAGAAAAAGGCATAGTTGAACTATAGTATCAGCACACATCAGTCAAGACAGCGAGGAGAGTGAATTACGGTTAAAGTGTTTCTTCTTTTTCAGATTACCCTACCTCAGTGGGAGATGGCCAGTGTTAAAAAATATATATAATCCCAGGTAAGTTATAATAACCATGGGAAAATGCTACATCTTTCAATCCAAGTATTAACTCCCAATTCCTTGGATCACAAGCCCTTCGCCAGCATAAGGAGATGAATACTTTTTTTTTTTTAGCCATGCTGCCATAACCTAATATCCCTGCCTCCAATGTTGTACATTAAATTTTTAAATATTTACCTTTTTTATTAAGTGGTCTTTTTCTGACAGCAACTGTAATTTGATGTTCTTCTAGAGGGTCACCGTCTTTCAACGTCCGAAACTCCAGCTGCGATCTAGAAATGAAACAAACAAGATTAATCAATGGGAATGTAGAAAAGCCTTGATCAACAGGTCACTTGCTCCAGACTACTGAGTAATAAATACTAAATATACTTCAAACTATGCATAGCATATATGGGAGAAACTTCAGGATTTTCATACAGGGTAGGCTGGGTAAGGTTATGTTAAATTACCTTTATTTTTCAAACACTTTGCACAATGTGTGCACTATACCTTTGTAGAGTAGCAATATTTCAATGGCTCCTATAGGATCAAAGGTATACAAATCGTTGGAACATTTTTTTTTTTTAATTCTTGTTAAGCGGTAAACACAAAAGAGTCATTTAGCGTAAGATGTGGTGGAGCCTTGATATTCTGTCTGACGAGTGCCAGACAGATGCACTTCCTGCGTGTACTCGCATAAATGTCCAGGAACATGTATAGGGAACAATGCAGACCCAAGAATATGTTGCACTTTCTAGCCCCTGAACTTGGTGACCTTAGCATCACTAAGGGCAAACATTCTTTACCCTATACTGTTTTATTTACTAACTGCCCTTGATGTTGACTAAGGAGGAAATATCTGTTTTACTATACTGTTCTGATAGTAATTATCTCATCAACCAAATCTAGAAACATTAGCAGAGTAGTTTTTTGAAGATTACTTCACTACTGTATGATAATGCTCTGTAACAATACAATGACAACCTTACAAGTACAGCAATTAAATATCTTAGTTACCTGAACTCTCTAATCATATTGAGAAATTCCCATTGAGGATTTCCTGGATCAAGATTCATAAGGGCTTCCTTCTCTTCCTTTTTCTCCGCTTGTTGTTTTCTACGCTCCTCTCGCTTCTTCTGAATACGGTCAACTTCCTTAACCACATTACTTCGCCGCCGAGCTGACGAGATAAATTAAAAAACCCATGAATGATATAATGCACACAAACTTAATTCAGCATTTTACCCCAACATACAGATTTTCTAAGCTGTTAATATGTAATTTATAAGGTAAATGCAAATTCAGAAGTCTATGTACTTAAAATCAGTTTAATATAATGTAAATTTAATCAGCCTATATTAAAAAGTTTAATCTAAATACTTAAAATATTTGATTAACATGCTGGTTTTACTTACGTTCTAAATAAAAAAAATTGCCCTGTACTGTATAAAAAACAATATGCAGTACCTGAATTACAATATTTACATATGTATTCATAAATAACCTGCACAGAGAAAAACTCTTGCTGTCGTTCTGGTCTGACTTGGACCATTACTGGTTGGTCCAAGTCGAACCAAAACGCAAGTTTCTCTCTCCTATGTGAGGGTTATTTGTGTGCTGCTCCAGTCATGGTATTGTGCCTTTTCGTTCTTTGCACATGTATAATGGTGTCAATAGATTGCACCTTAAAACAAAGGGTAGGGGGAAAATACAGTACTATACACCCACTACTCCATTAGTTGCAACCAATATTGAATGAAAGAAATTAGGATTACTTCTAAATCTAGAATTTACTCAAAATTTGGAATTAATTCTGCATTTCCTAATTTTTCCAAACATGACCATTAACTTTCAACAAGTTTCCAAGAGGTTTGCATATTCATTTACGTGCTAAGTTTTTCTTTTCAATTCTATTAAGGAGTTAAACGAGGGACAAGAATGATAAGTAAATGCTCAAAATTCTCCCAGAGTCACATGAAAATGATGAACTGTTAATTTGATAAGTTAGAGATTGCTCACTGAAAATTCGTCAATCTATTCAGTACTAGCAACAAGTCATGAGCAGCAAATATTAAATGATACAATATATTATATACTCTTTCAATACTGGCTTACAAGAATTATACATCATTCAGATTCAACAATATCATCCCAAGAAGGCAACGTGTGGGCAAACTGGAAGAATTTTTGCACTGTCCACCAAGTATGGTTGATAAATGATAAATGATAAAGATTAATATTCTTAGGTTAAGTCCATACTACACTTTTAGATTGATAAAGCAGGAAATTTGGCGAATCATTCAGTACAATAAGTGTGGGCAGCTTGATCTCTCTGATGATCAACAAATCAAATATTTGTTCTCAAACTTTTCCCCCTCCCCTCCCTACAGTCTATTATCTAAAATAAGAAAGCACGAAACTTAAGAGCACAATATCATAGCAGGGAGAAATTTTATAACTCGACCAGACACTAAATACTCAAATAACCTGCACATTGGAGAGTGGAGCTTCCCTCTCCTATGTGCGGGTTATCTGTGTATTGTTCCAGTCACAGTATTGTGCCTTTTTTATTTACTAAATGCTATGAAGGATATAGAATAAATCATTGATGAATTTTTATGTACAGGGAGAAAAGAATGAAGTAATGAAAATATTTGGAATGCTACTTGTTAAAGTTTGTAGGTACTCCAACTCTAGATATTAAAAATGTAAAAGATGTAACCTGTAAAATGAAAGTATCAATATATACAAGACAAAACACTAGAAATGTTAAACTTAAGAGACAGTTTACATTTGTCCTGAAGAATAACTAATGTACACAGGATAAATGGGAAATATTAGTAACAAATCAATTAAGCATGACAAAGAAATTTTTTTTAAAGAAATTATAAAGCATCTGTCAAATAAAATGCAATGATTTGATATAAGCAGGAGACTGCTCCCTTACAGAAGCAGAGTTTAAATGTAAGAAAGAATTTTGTGAAAACTTAAGAGGAACATTTATGGAATGAACTGAAGTAACAAGAGAAGTGGGGATTGTCTGGAGAATGTTGGGGAAATTTTTTCACAGCTAGGATAAAAAGCATTTCTGAAAAAGGCAACACAAACTTTCAAACAAAAACCAAAAAGACGATCAGGGTGGGTTGTCGAGTACACAGACTAGCGGAAGGAATGCCGTTTGACGTAGCGAGGATGAAAAATTGTGAAGATACTGCACCACCATAATTTAAGACTGAAGTGTTCGAAGTGTTCAGTTCGAGGCTGAATAAGAATGGGTATGTGATACCACTATCAATGCAATTTCTTGATATGAGCAAAAGGGTAACAGATTCTATGGTGATAACAGTAGTACCAGTGGTGGAGGAGGTAGTCCGAGAAAAAGGAGGAAAAAAAAAAAAAAAAAATGAATGTACAGCAGGAGAGCTGATGGCCCATGAAGAAAGGGCCAAAAAACATGGAGGGAAAAACTCTGAGACAGAAGAAAGGTAAAGAAAATACAGGGAAAGTACTATATATCAAAACTCATAAGGATTAAAAATACTCAAACTACTTCTAATGCTGTTCATGAATAATGTTTCAAGATACTACTACTGTGATGGACCAGTAATTGATGTGCTCAAATATTTTATTTTGAAGCCTAGGTTGAAGGCAAACAACTAAAAGTTTATGTAAGGATTTCTGAAGATCTATACCTTAACATCTGTTAGATAAAGTTTGATAAAGTATAGGATAAATGAGATCTTTCAAGACTCTTCATTCCTCAAAATGAAAAAAATGTCAAGATGTTAGTTATGAAGGGTAGACTATTCTTACACAGACATTTGTTGGTCCAAGTCTATATTGCTCTTAACAAATTTTGTATCCCTTAATATATTCCTCACTTCTCAGGCATTCTCACTTCTCAAACAAAAACCTTCAATTACAAGGTGCATAAACCAGCTTTTGAAAGCTTGACAAGGTTCAAGGGTTATCAGACATAGAAGCCATGATGCCTGGTGAAGACTGAACAATGCCAGTGTTTCCAAAGCACATAGAACAAAGACACTCGAGTATTTGTCCAGCATGAAGAATAAGAAAATGTGCCAATATGTTGGAATGTTATAAAGTAACTGACAGAATGAAAATTGTATGGTAATAAATTATAGGGAGATACCAGTGGCAGATATCTGTTTAGGAATGGTCGAGAAAAGTGGTCGGAAAACTATGAAAAGTTTAGTTAAAAAAAATGGGGGTTCAGAAAAGTGAAACAACTTTTACATAGTTTGGACATAATTAAGGAGGAAAGGATAAGTGACAAATGGGTAAACCACAGGGATAAAAGATGAGAGAAAAAGACTGGAAAAAAAAAATTAAGTGTGATGATCTTGCAATTCCAATTTAGGAGGATATTTATAGAAAAAAATATTAAACAGATACAGTCATTATTTTAAGGCCTAGGTATGACTAAAGGACAAAATTAGGAATGAAAATTTCATAGTTTAAAAAAACAATCTTGCAAAGTCAGAAAAATATACAGTATATAACCACCCTTCTCTGGATGTGGAAAAAAGTTTGATAAAACTAATTATCACATTAACTCCACCTACTTATTTGAAACTTACCCAAGGAGCCAACAGCAACGGCTATGCCTCGCCCTACAATAAGAATAAATGTCCACCAAGTATCTTTAAATCTTCTACATTTGTACTAACCAGGTTATTTTTTTTTTCCTTAACTCAAAATTTGTTTGCTTCTTAAAAAATGAATAATTAACAGGATCTATTAATGAATTTGAAGGAAAAAAAAAAAAAAAAAAAAAAAAAAAGTCTTCATCAAATGGTAAAATTCTTTTGCCAGAAGTGCACCGACATCACTGTTCGAATACCCCTCCAAACCGTAACACTTCTATCCCTCCTTTACAATGCATGTACTCTAATTCCCATCTCCCGGACTCAAGCCCAGCTACCCATTTTCCTTAAATTTCATGTTCTTACTTGCACTAACAGCAGGTTAATCCATAAAAGCCACTTTTCTCCATTCTGATTAAGCACTCACACAAGCCTGCCCTCAAAACCATCTTTACCCCCTACTTCCAATGATCCACCTCATCATTCAGACCCATCCATCATTATGTCCACTCCTAAATATCCAATTACATTCAGATATACTTGGAAGGCGAGGACAAAGTGAAGCTCATTCCTACAGTTCAAATAGGTAAAAAGAATAGGCAATCATTACACAGTCTTACAAGGCTCATGGCTTCCCTCCTCCAACCCTCTTTTCTAAACTGTCATTACTTTGAAGGAAAGGTAACCCCAAAAGATGAAATATTCACATCACTCGCACTGCCTTTCCAGAGGAGCAGACTTCATTATCCAATAACACACTATACACTCAGCATCTCCGCCCATCTCGCAACATGTATTACTATTTCCAACCTCAAGAACTGGCCAAGTAATATAAAAAGTTATGATTTAACAAAACAGACTTTCTAAATTGTATTAATCCTAAAATAAAAATTATGCAGGAACTAGCACTCACCAGAACTAGTCTAACTGCAGACTTTTCAATGATGTACATGAAAATCAATTAAGTTAATGAAATACAGCACATAATACTTACCAAATCAATTAAAAATAAAAGACAATGGTCAATATACTGAAGTCTGAAAAGTTTATAACTAGTGATCTATTCTTAGCACTATAAAATGCTCTTTCTACTCATGGTGGGAATTAATTTAAGGTAAGTAGCTGTCAAATACTTTGGGAGACTGTAGATCCTTTACATATAGACCAGAACTAAACTAATTTACTTTTAAATGAAGATGGCAATAATAGGAATATATGCATTTGCAGGGACTATTATCCTGGGCAGTCAAACCTAACATACTACTAATGGAATCAGAACCTTTTAGTATAAAAAACAAAAATACACTTATCTGTATTCTTAAACTCGATTTCGTTGTTAATAAAAGTTTTCATACAAAATATATTTTTGCAATTAATGAAATTTAAATTCTACGGTAACAACAGAAGCTGCTCAATTACTTTTAATATGCATTAACTCTCTCCTAGAATTCCTTTACCGTTTCTCAAACCAGTAAACCATTATCTTTCCTCTACTTCCCGCTTAGTGCAGAAAGCATGTTAGCATCTTTCACTCCTAAGTCATACATGTCATAGAATACAATGTGACAAATCCCTCGAGAAATACCCAAGCTATGAAAAACTAGACAACTTTGCATTTTTTTAAACCTCGGATGACTAGATTAGTCCGTTTAAAAGTAAAGAACACGTCAGAACTAAATTTAGTTTTCAAACTGTTGAAAGTACTGTAGAGAATGGTAGTCAAAGTTAAATACTCGCTGGGGCCAGCACAATCTCAGGTTAATAAACCTACAGTAAGAATAGATAACTCACAAGCTGGTACTGATGAAGCTTTGCTAACAGTGGATGTGGAAATGTTTTCTGTAGATCTGGCAGGTGACTGGCCGATCTTATTTTGCAAATTTGACCGAACTTCTCCATTCTGTGGTGGTTTCACAAGGTAGCTTGGGCGAGGCCTGTTTGAATCTGATGGGAAATGTTTATAATACATATATATATAGTATACATACATGGCTACTATCTTGGTAAAGCAAATTTAACTCGCATGGCTATGTTATCAATATATTTGATCATGAACATGCTTGAGGGAATGTAACATCAACCTGTCTCATTCCTTATACAGTGGAACCTCAAAAATCGAACTGCTCCCAACACAACCAATTATGTAAGTGTATTTTTGTAAGTGCTTTTATAAGTGCATTTTTGAGGGTCTGAAATGGACTAATCTAATTTACATTATTCCTGATGGGAATAAATTCATTCGGTAAAGGCACTCGAACAGCCTTCTGGACCGAAGAAAGTTCGATATTTGAGGTTCCACTGTATGTCCCATTCCTTACACCATTCCATTCGGTATCAGACCCATTCCTTACCTTCTCGGTCCCATTCCTTATCCTCTCTGACCAATGTCTTAAGTCTTCCATTCCCATTTTACTTTCATAGCTGACCATTTCTTAGTTTAAAATTCAATAAAAGCAAGATAAATATTTGAGCTTTCTTTATTTTTAATTATAAAATCACCAGGATACAATTAAAATTTTTAAGGAAGCAAAGTTCAAAATAGAGTGGAACAAACACTAGACCCTTAGGAATGCTATTGCCACACCACATTCAAATGTCATTTCAAACAAGTAAACTGCCCTAAAACTAAGCTTTTCAAAAATTATCTACACAAGCAACGCTAATCAAGTGACCTCCAGACAAATTATCCGAGAAAATATTTGAATTTAGCACACAAATGGACACCTACAATCAAGCTATGGTAAAATTAGCATTTAAGTTAAAGAAAAATCTGAACTAACCTTTGCTTCTTGTGACAGGTGCTGCTGCTGGCTGAGTTATCTGCGACTGCCGTGAATACTGTGGATAATTTTACTTAGTTATGACACGTACAATTATATAATATGATGCTACACCATTATTAATCTGAAATCTTTTAAATACCTAACAAAAGCCAAACTACAGTGGCCTGGTGTAACATCTAAATACGGATCTTATAAACACGTTTGTTTTATTTATTACATACACATACTGTATCTGCCTATCAATGTAGCTCTTTGGCAAAGATCCAGGTCGAGGCAGTAACTATACACAAGAATGTACCAAAACATCTTCACTGATTAAAGGATATCTTGTATTTCCTTATCACATTATCATGACAAAACAAAATTAATCTGGTCGAAGTAAATTTGTGTATGGAATGAAATTGTTACTGTTTAAAGCACTAAAATCAAAAGGGTGCCCCAGAAATGTAATGATGTTTTGTAATCTTGTAACTACAAAGTACTACCATTTATTACTGTTGGTGTTATAATAGTAGGGGTACTATATTGAAGTATTAAAGTAACAAGTAAAAATATAAAGTAGATAAATTATAATTAATCACGCCCCCCCCCTTATTCTGCAATTGTAGAAGGGCACAGATCTTTAGTCCAACACTCCCTTACCTCTGCCACTTCCAAACCTAACCACTTGTTTCACACCCTCTCTCCCCCCATATGACACCTATATAGCATAGGGTACCACCCTTCTTCCACACAGGTTTTATACGCCATCTTTCCAGCTTACCTTGTTCCATTCATATTACATGACAAGCCATCTTTATCCTCAATTTAGGCCCAATTACCAGCAAAATTTTCACAGTGCCACACTGTCATTAATTTCTTTATTCCTTATTCTCTGTAAAGCAAATGCAATAAAAGACAGACACCAGGGAAGGAATGCCAAACAGCAAATAAAAAAAGGCTGAGGCACTTAAATTTGGCCAAGAAAGCTTTAGAATAAAGGGTAAAAAACCAAGCAGATGAATTTGCATCTTCAGGGTGAAAGCACCAAGATGCAGAATGAGAACACTCAAGGGAAGGGCTGGTGGGGGATATTAAAAATTTATAATGCAGGCGAAAGAAATGAGGAAGAAAAAGGTTATTACAACTAATGAAAAGCTATTACTACAAAGATGACAAAATCTAGAATAGCTTTGATGGGTGTAATGACAATACAAGCAGGAGCTGAAAGAACACGAGTATAAAGTGCTGGAATGGTTGGTGTATTTAATGTATGCCCCAGACTATTCAACATCTTACCAGAAGACATCAGAAACACTGCTGGGACAAGTGTAGAAGTCTAAGAGGGAACTGGGCAAGTATCTTTACCAGGTGTCAAATCAACCAGGCTGTGATGGATATGTGGGGCAGCAGACCAGCAGCAGCAGCAACAGCCTGGTTGACCAGGCAAGCACCAAATAAGCCTGGCCCATGGCCAGGATGTGATAGTGGAAAAATTTTTGGAACTAAGGTGTATCAAAGGTATGACAAAAATGAAAAGTACTCAAGACTAGGAAGAAACCATAGGTCGCTCCTTTACAAGAAGACAGGACTGAAAAACTGTACAAATATGAGATAAGATCAATAGTATACCAGGTAAGGCATGGCAGAAAATAAGATTATAAAAAAGATTTAAAAATGTTAGAGGGTGTGTGGATTAAGCATAAATGAGAAATTAAGTATTTGTGCAAAATGCATTTTTTCCTCAGATGTAGACCAGCAAGAGATTTGTGCCAAGGTGGAATGGAGATGGACAAGATGAGTGTTGTGAATGTAGCTATGGGGTAGAGGGCAGGTTGCTCCATGAAATGAAAATGTTACAGGGAAAAGCAAGACAGCATCAAGTAGCAAAGGAGAAGAGCTTCCAACATGAGGACTTAATATGCAAATTGTCCCAATTTCTGCTGAGATTACTGATGATCTACATAAGAAGCTGCAGCAGCTGAGAAAAGTTTGATCTATACAGCAGACTTTACCAATCAATTTTCAAAAGCAAGTAAAAATAGAATACAAAAAAATAGTAACATGACAATAAGAAACGAGGAATAATGGAGTACAAGTCAGAACAAAATTAATAAGGGGTGGTTAATATATTCAGATACAGTGGTAACCAGAGTTTCAAACTGCTCCCAACTCTCAATTATGTAAGTAGTTGTGTAAGTGTATTTGTGTAAGTACATTTGTAAGTGTATTTTTGGGGGTCTGAAATGAACTAATCTAATATACATTATTCCTTATGGGAACATACTTGTTCTGTATTGGCACTCAAACAGCCTTCTGGAATGAAAAGTTCGAAATGGGGTACCACTGTATTTGGGAGCAGATACCTACCTAAGTTGCTCTAGAATATAGGACAGGGGATGAGTACATGGAAAGCTTGTCAATGGTTGCTAAATTGTAAATTGATCAGTTTTACCAACTCTTGCATGGGAAAAAAATATTTGAAAGTGACAGCAATGAGATTTTATGCACTTGAAATATATTAGAACAAAGTATGGTTCATGTGCCAAGTACAATACAAGATTAAAACAATAGCAAATTATGGTACAAAAAGTATACTGTAAATTAATAATAGTTATAAGTCTAGTTACATTGGCTATATACAGTAAAAAGAATTTTAAAAATTCTTGAAAAGGTCAATTTCAAGATTTTTAAGTTTACTGTGTATACACAATGCAGGTTTATAAATTATAAGTGCCAGGTATAATTATTCAACAAATTACATTATTATTTTAAGAGTAAGAATACAATACAGCCTCTCCTCACTTAGCGACGTACTCATTTACCGACGACTCTGACTTACGACTGGCTCTGACTAGCATGCATACCTCCATAATGTATATTAGAGCCAATTTCCTCTATTCTGTTTATTACAATATACAGTGGACCCCCGCATAACGATGGCATCGCATAGCGATTTTTCCGCATAACGATTACTTTTATCGCAAAATTTTTGCCCCGCATACCGATTAAAAACCCGCATACCGATTTTCGTCTGAGACGCGTCCAATGTGCCCTCAGCCAGCCTCACATGTGCCGCTCCGTCCCATTGTTTACCAGCCAGCCTCCGCGGTAACATCCAAGCATACACTCGGAATATTTCGTATTATTACAGTATTTTCGGTGCTGTTTCTGGAAAATAAAGTGACCATGGGCCCCAAGAAAGCTTCTAGTGCCAACCCTACACCTCAAAGGGTAAGAATTACTATAGAGATGAAGAAAGAGATAATTGATAAGTATGAAAGTGGAGTGCGTATAGCCGACCTAGTCAAGCTGTACAAGAAAACCCCAATCAACCATCGCTACTATTGTGGGCACCAGAAAGGACAATCAAGGAAGCTGTTCTTGCCAAAGGTTCAACTGTGTTTTCGAAACAAAGATCGCAATTGATGGAAGATGTTGAGAGACTCTTATTGTGTGGATAAATGAAAAACAGATAGCAGGAGATAGCGTCTCTCAAGCGATCATATGTGAAAAGGCTAGAAGTTGCATGACGATTTAATTAAAAAAATGCCTGCAACTAGTGATGATGTGAGTGAATTTAAGGCCAGCAAAGGTTGGTTTGAGAGATTTAAGAAGCGTAGTGGCATCCATAGTGTGATAAGGCATGGTGAGGCTGCCAGTTCGGACCACAAAGCGGCTGAAAAATATGTGCAGGAATTCAAGGAGTACATAGAAACTGAAGGACTGAAACCTGAACAAGTGTTTAATTGTGATGAAACAGGCCTGTTCTGGAAGAAAATGCAAGCAGGACCTACATTACTCAGGAGGAAAAGGCACTCCCAGGACATAAGCCTATGAAAGACAGGCTTACTTTGTTGATGTGCCAATGCTACTGGTGATTGCAAAGTGAAGCCTTTATTAGTGTATCACTCTGAAACTCCCAGAGCGTTCAGGCAAAAGAATGTCCTCAAGGATAATTTTGTGTGTGCTGTGGAGGGCAAACAGTAAGGCATGGGTCACTAGGGAATTTTTCTATAAACTGGTTACACATGCATTTGCCCCCAATGTGAAAAATTACCTAACTGAAAAGGAAATTAGAACTTAAGTGCCTCCTGGTGTTAGACAATGCCCTGGTCATCCTACAGACGTGTCAGAGCGACTTTATGGGGACATGAGCTTCATTAAGGTGAAGTTTTTGCCTCCTAATACCACTCCTCTCCTGCAGCCCATGGACCAGCAGGTTATTTCCAACTTCAAGAAACTGTACACAAAAGCTCTGTTTGAAAGGTGCTTTGTAATGACCTCAGAAACTCAACTGACTAAGAGAGTTTTGGAGAGATCACTTTAATATCCTCAATTGTGTAAACCTTATAGGTAAGGCTTGGGAGGAAGTGACAAAGAGGACCTTGAACTCTGCTTGGGAAAAGAAACTGTGGCCAGAATGTGTAGACAAAAGGGATTTTGAAGGGTTTGAGGCTAACCCTGAGAATACTGTGCCAGTTGAGGAATCCATTGTGGCATTGGGAAAGTCCTTGGGGTTGGAGGTTAGTGGGGAGGATGTGGAAGAGTTGGTGGAGGAGGACAATGAAGAACTAACCACTGATGAGCTGCTAGATCAACTTAAACCCAGCAAGAGGCCACACCTGAGGAAATTGCTTCGGAGGAGGGGAGAGAGAAATTGAAGAAGTTGCCTACTTCAAAGATTAAGGAAATCTGTGCAAATGGCTTGAAGTGCAAACCTTCATGGATGAAAATCACCCTCACACAGCTATTGCAACCCGTGCTGGTGATTATTACACTGACAATGTTGTGAAACACTTTAGGCAAGTCATAAAGGAACGAGAGGTACAGGCCACTATGGACAGATATCTTGTGCGAAAGAAGTCCAGTGACTCTGAAGCTGGCCCTAGTGGCATTAAAAGAAGAAGGGAAGTAACCCCAGAAAAGGACTTACTACCTCAAGTCCTAATGGAAGGGGATTCCCCTTCTAAACACTAACACACACTCTCCCTCCTCCCATCCCATCAATCATCACCAGATCTTCAATAAAAGTAAGTGTCATTTAATTGTGCATGCCTTTTTCAGTTTGTGTGTATTAAAATTAACATTTCATGTGGTAAAAAAATTTTTTTTTCATACTTTTGGGCGTCTTGCACGGATTAATTTTATTTCCATTATTTCTTATGGGGAAAATTGATTCGCATAACGATTATTTCGCATAACGATGAGCCCTCTTGCACGGATTAAAATCGTTAACCGGGGGTCCACTGTATACTGTAGTACACTACTGTATAAACATTTAAAAATATCAGAAATGTTATAAATGGGGCAAAGGTAACATTAAAACAACATCAAAGATGACTGACACAAACCCACTACCAATATAGTATGCTCCTCACCGAACTCCATCGTTGAGGAGAGGCTGTACAGTAGACCCTCGAATTTCATCATCCCTTTTCTGTGTGTAAAACTATAGTTATTCTCTATAAAATATATTTAATATTTTTGGGTGTCTGGAATGGATTAATTGAATTTACATTATTTCTTATGGGAAATATTAACAAAAAGTGCATTTTACAGAGTAACTAGTTTTACATACAGGAAAGAGATGATGAAATTCAAGGGTCCACTGTGTAGTACTCAAGCTAATTTCAGTCAGGATATTAGTAGGTCAAGTACAATAAATACTGTAGCTCCAGTATTTACAGTAAATACTGTAGCTACAACTAGTATTACTAGTAATGGAGGGAAAGTAAAGTTTTCATACAGCTGGAGGATACACACTTCTAGTTCAAAACCAAATACAAAAAGAGGCTAAGAAATCATTAATATCTACTACACTACACATACTATTTTGGTTACAATGTCAAATTCTAAATGCTGTATAAACTAAAAATATTGGCCAATCAGTTCTCAAAAATACCATTAAATTTCTTAATTGTTTAAAAAAAAAAAAAAAAAACTTTTCACTAACACATCAGCCGTTTCCCACCAAGGCAGGGTGGCCCGAAAAAGAAAAACTTTCACCATCAGTCACTCCATCACTGTTTTGCCAGAGGCATGCTTTACACTACAGTTATAAAACGGCAACATTAACACCCCTCCTTCAGAGTGCAGACACTGTACTTCCCATCTCCAGGACTCAAGTCCGGCCTGCCGGTTTCCCCAAATCTCTTCATAAATGTTACCTTGCTCACACTCCAACAGCACGTCAAGTCCTAAAAACCCATTTGTCTCCATTCACTCCTGTTAACATGCTCACACACATTTGCTGTAAGTCCAAGCCCCCTCGCGCACAAAACCACCTTTACCCCCCTCCCTCCAACCTCTCCTAGGCCGACCCCCTACCCTATCTTCCCTCCACTACAGATTTGTATATTCTCGAAGTCATTCTATTTCATTCCATCTTCTCTACATGTCCAAACCATCTCAATAACCCATCCTCAGCCCTCTGGATATTTATTTTCATAAAGTATATTACCGATACACAGGATTTGTCTAGCACTACCGAGTGCTCGCTAAGATGCCAATGACATACAAACTTTTTTTTTTACACAGGCCTAAAGTATATACAACAGCATTCAGCACATGCAGTAAGTAAAATTAATACCGTATTATTTCATAACAGACTACCTCTCACCATTCATGGGTTTATCATTATTACAAAAATTAACCACCTGGCAAAGTTTACTAGTTCATGAAAGCTTTCAAATATTAAAGTTTATAACATTGCAATATCAATTACTGAAAGGTAACATTAAACAGTGTTGTACTGGTATCAAGTTTCCAATGGATGCACCACTCCATTCACCACAACAAGGCCAGAGTGGATATAACCAAGACAAGACGGCTGGTGCAGCATAATTAAAATCACTTTCCTTAGAGGCTCAATTGTGATGCGACCAGTATACACGTACTATTATACATGTGAATTAATGGGTGCTAAATCTGAAGTTATGCTGAAAGTCTGGGCCCAGAGACTGGGGCCCCAGTGTGCTAAAAAAAAGAGTTTTATCTGAATAAATGTTAAGTCTACTATAGAAAATACAAAAAGTAAATAGGAAAGATTTTGTTACCAACAAGAAGCCACAGTTGCGAGAGAGAAAAAAAAAAAAAAAAAAAGTGCTGAAGACATGGATATTTTACAAATAGTGGAATTTATGGCTTAAATATGAATCAAACAGCAGTGTACTCTACAACCACTGAACTTCAAACTAAATGACTGGGTACCATAAACGTCTCTTCCATTAACAACAAACTGGTAAATTCACTTTGCCTTGTGTCCTACTGTCATGTCTTGACTACCCAATTGCCTGCTTCCTGATGTAATGCAAGCTAGTCTTTTCTATCAATAAAAATTTTTTACAGTTTTCTTAATATTAAATATCTGGTACATCACACCTGTCATCAGTATCAAACACCTGTGATCAGTATCAAGGGTGTTGTTCACTCTTGTAGCCCAGTCTGGGGCCAGGTTTCTCTGTTGCTTGCCTGTTGAACAAGGCTGCTGCTGTTGGCACCTTACTGATCCCCACAGCTAGCACAACCTGCTTCACCTGACACTTAGCATAGTCCTTTTGCAGACTTCTACATTTGTTCAGGCAATATTTTCTTTTATCTGCCGGTAGCAGGCTGACTAGCTGTGGACTACTGATGTAGACTGTTCTCTTATTGAGCTATGGTGATTTTGCTTTTCACAGGGTTTATTTTACACTTACTTCAATCTCTCATTCCGACTAACCATGGTTTTGTGTAGATTTATAATCATGCCCTTAAATATCCTTGCTGTATATATTATCAGGTACCCCTTTCCTGCTAGGGTATATTTCTAGTAATTTAAGACTCCCATAATTTAAATATTTTACCAAATTTATCCTTATATTTTCCAAGACCTCTAAAACATTAGAATGCAAAACATTAAGTTGCATAAACATGTAGCAAGACTAAAATCAGTTAGCACTTAAACATGCAATAACAAACAAAATCAATCCTCCAGAAGTTTAAGAACTGACTGAAGATTCTTTGAAGTATACACAAATAACCCGCACAAAGAGAGGATAAGCTTACGACGACATTTCAGTCCAACTTGGACCATTTACAAAGTCACGCAGTGTGATGTAAATGGTCCAAGTCAGACCGTAACGTCGTCGTAAGCTTCTCTCTTCTTTGTGCGGGTTATTTGTGTATCGTTCCAATCACAGTATTGTGCCTTTTTTTTTTTTTTTTTTTTTTTTTTGGTTATTCTTTGAAGTATCCCGGTCACACAGTTAATGTACAAGTTGCGAGAAGCAACCTAACTGAACAGTATCAGAGGTGACCAGGAAGTCCCAAGCCTGTACCAGGATTAGTTAATTCACAATTTTTACATACAATAACCAAAAGTATTTCAGAGAACTTTTTTTTATACACAAACCCTGCCCCTGGTTGCAAGATGGATTTTACCCCTCGTAGCCTAGCCCGAGGCCAGATTTCCTTTTTGAATGGCTGGTGAACCAAGCTGTTGCTGCCAGCAGTACAAAGGCCTACACAGCCATCAAGTGAGGTAATTATCTAGTGAGTGAGGTAACTATCTACCTAGTAAATGAGGTACATCTGCAGACATTAATCCAGTTTCCTCATGGACACTACCTGCATTGCACAATTAGGCTTTCTAATACATATGTATGATTTAATAGTACATCCTCCAACATATGCATTTTTATCTAAAAATTATAAAAACCATGCCCTGATTTTTTAAAATACTATTTATACTTAACATGCCCATGTAAAATGAAAGTATGATCAACCAGAATATTAAATTCAAAATTAAATTTACTACTATAAGTCAACATTGAGCTCTGGGTTCAGGGAGGGCAAAACGGGACATCCACATACAACACACGCACACACTAACGGAACAAGAGGAAAACAACAAATGGACAATCTCCAGCAATGCATCAGATCCAGATGGACATATTAACTAGGATGCAAAAATACTACTGACAGGATGCAACTAAGAATCAGTCGAGTAACGAACGTAACTGGGTATACCGTACATGTGCGCAGAAATCGTCAAATTAAACTTTGATTAAAAAAAAAAAATACGTCTGAAAACGAAGGCACTATAAATGGACAGACATACAATATGAATTACAATGCATTATTACTTACAGCATCATCATCATCCACATCATCATCATCCTGGGGAATGCATGAAGGGGAGGGGGGAAGAGGGACTAAGTGCATTAAAAGTATCATTGAAGATTTACAATGTTGTTCAGAAACGAACAATAAAGTTACTGTGTTGGTCAGAAGTGAAAAGTTATTGCAATGCTAGCTTACTGTACAGTATGTAATTATCCACATTTTTGACTGCTTGCAAATTATTAAGAAATGTGTACACAAAGAAATATTTGCCAAAATAGAGTGCAGATTTAGCATTACCTTTGATTTTCCCACTGCTTATTTTATTCACTGGAAACATTCTTACTTTAACAATGTACAGAAATGTGTTTACTGTGACAATTACCAATGAAGGTGGTTTAGTAATACAAGGTGTGAAACATCCTTGCAAGCAAGTTTCAAGCAATGACCCACGAATAAATACAGTGGAACCTCGGTACTCAAACTTAATTTGTTCCAGAAAGCTGTTCGAGTGCCAATCTGTTAGAGTACTGAACAAATTTTTCCAAACCCATTTTCTTTTTTGTTGGCTGTTAACACTATTCTTAGACCCCTTGGTGACTTGTTTATACAAATAAAAAAATGAAGAGAAAAACTTTACAGGGAAATTCTGGCAGGTTGTGTTTGTTTGGTCGAGTGAGAAGCAAACAGTCGACTACCAAGCGTTTTTTTTTTCCGAACAAAGCGTTCAAATAATGATTGTTCAAGTACCAAGGTTCCACTGTAATCAAGTCTCTCTGTAATGTTATAATTTAACATGTAAACTTTTTTTTTTTAAACAAAATATCCACAGCTTCACAATTTTCATAACACAACATGTACAGTACTGCATTCCCAGGAATTCAAAAGCTTTTACCCATATTAAATCCGGTACTGTATACATAATGTACAAGTACAGAACAGCGATAGTACTGTAATCATTTATCTGTGCGTATTTATAGTTACATGGCTTGTAAGATTCAAGATCTAGTCTTAAATTAATTTATCAGTTTACAATATATAAATACTCAGTGGTTTTAAGAAACTACATTCTCAGATTACTCCAGTCACCTGCCACCACTGCCTAAGGTATTTTCTTATCTTTGATGCATACCTTACCTCATCTTGTTTTGCGTTATATCCTCTTGGTCGTCCTACTGCTAAGTCAAAACGATCGTATTTTTCTTGCCTTAACCCCCCTCAAAAAAGGAACATTTATCATCATTCATTCAACTGCCATCTTGCCAGAAATGTGGTGATATCACAATTCAGATAACCCTCCCAACTGCAGCAACCCCATACCTTCTGCAAGTGCTACACTTCACATCTCCAAGATTCAAGTTTGGCTAACCGGTTTCTCTGAATCCCTTCACAATTTACTTTGCTCATATTCCAATAGTAAACTGAATAAAAAAAAAAAACATCCATCCACTCTGATCTAACAAGCTCTCACAATCCTCCTACTGGATGTTAAAGATTCCCAAGACTGGAAACCACCTTCACCCTCACCCCCCCTCTTCCCTAACTCATCCTGGGACAACCCTACCTCTTTCCCTCCACCCTTAATTTAGAGTATCTTCTCAGTCAACTTCTTGAGCTATCCTCTCTAAATGCCTAATCCAACTTAACCTGTGCACCTTTCAAGTTTAATACATCTTCTAGGCATTTTCCTGGTTCTGACTATTCTCTAAATGGCCTGATGACACAGCTTCTCATTCTATTTATTCTAAACTTTCAGTTTTCACTGCAGAAAATTATGAGGTAGTCTAGAATGCTGGACTTCTTAATATTATCCACAGCAGTACAGTTGGGTATACTTTTCTACTCTGAACTCGCCTTGGGACCAGTCTTGTTAAAGGTCACAGGCTTTCTGTTCAACTGATAGTTTCAAAGTGTTCATCTGGCACTTATAATTTTTCAGATCACTCTCATCACAGACTGCGACGCAAAAAGAGACAACCGCACCTCCGCACGCAACCACCGCGCCCAATGTGCCCCACCAGGCCGACAGGGTCCCTCTGGGCCTAAACAGGCGCGACACACACGGCGCCGACGCGCGCGCCACACGACTGGTCCACACACCCACGGTTCATCAGGCGACATACGCGCACACACACGCCCACATCCTCCACAAACACGCGCTCCACACGCGCACACACACCGCACACACACAGCACCACCGACACACGCCCACACAGTACTTTAAGGCATTCCCAGTAATTTAGACTTGTTTCATGTGGACAGTACTCTTCCAGCTCTAGTATCTTCCCAGCTGTGACTAGTAGGGAGTACATAACTAATCGAGGCAAACGAATGATTCATCCAATGGACTGGCGTCTTAATCTCATAATTCATGTACAATTTGTTTGCCTTGCTATGTTTTCTTTGTGTTCTGATGTCAACAGCATTGTAGTACACTGTTTTGCTCCATTTTATAGGCAGTCCATGTCTAACCGAAACGTCGTGGCAAGCTCCTCTTTATGTGCGGGTTATTTGTGTATTGTTCCAGCCACGGTATTGTACCTTTTTGTTTCTTATGCAAACAGGTTGTCAACCAGAGGCTTCTGCCTCGCTCTACCAGGCCTAGCAGATGGACAAGCTGGGCTTCGTCACAATCATTACAACGCCTCCATAAGTCTACTGTTTCCTTTGCTACCATCGCTTCTCCTATCGAACCCACATAACAGTAACATCACTATTTCAAGTATTTACCATTATTTACAAAGTATCTAAAAGTTCCAACTGCATGTGCGCTTGCTTCAAGTTAGTTCTTCGGTTATCGAAACATTCTGAATTTATTCCTGTTATTCATTTTACTCCTGCCAACTGCAAGGCACAAGGCACTGCCGTCATAACGATGTTAATTTGCTCCATCACTCTGCTCCACAATTTTTAAACAATGATTCACCTGTTATGTACTTTTATAGCCATCATTCACATTAACCCCACATGTAAAAAACATTGGAGTTTTACCTTCCAGTACCTAGGATTTTTCCAGTGATGTCAGTTGAAAGAGAAGCTTGAAGGATAACTAGACCAGGTGGAGAGGAGGAGGAGACGGGGGTCGAGAGGGCGAGGATGGGGTGGGCGGAAAAGACGAGAAGGATGGGTGGGAAGACAACGGGGTTAGGAATAAGACATTACGGTTAGGCAGTCAGGAAAATTAAGCGGGAATAAAAACGTGGATGAAAAGGACGGGGGGGTGGGAAGGAAGGACAACGGGGGGGGGGGGGAAGACAACAGGTGGGTGAACAACAGGGGGTGGGAAGGACAACGGGGGGGGGGGAAGACAACAGGGGGTGGGAAGGAAGAACAGGGGTGGGGAGAACAACGGGGTCGGGAGAGTAAGACAATACGGGTGAGAGTTGAGGAGATGCACATGGACGACACAGACTGGTGTGTGATAACGTCACATTTAAAGCAACAATGTAATAAGAGAAAACGTTGGATAAAAAAAATGAGCAATAGGTACTATGCATCGCAAGGACAACACATTTCAATCCCATATAAAAAAAAATGGTAGAGACGAGGATACCAAGCAAGCTTCGGGAGGTAATCATGAGAGGGAAAAACGATTGTCTTAGAATATAAGTATCTGGTTAGCAGAGCTTTACAACTCTCCCGGCTCCCACCAGTTTTTTTTTTCCACGTCCTGATGAGGGGAAAGGACGAGAGGGGAAGTCTCTTCCACCCCCCGTGTAACCATGACAACATGCTTCACACCGACCTTAGCAATCCAGTTATGTTGTATAACTATCACTAGTTTCCCCCGTGTCGGGTGAAAAAAAAAAATCCTGTACATAAACGCAGTTGTACTAAATGCCACAAGAATGAAGTTTACACATACCACTGAAAGGCAATATTTTGTTCAACGTCTACCACAATACACAACTAAAAAAAAATTATAGATTAATTTCATTTTATATTAGATATATATATAAATATATATAATATCTAAGTATAACTTTCCTAAATCTAGAGAAGCACTTTACGTACTTGGAAAAAAAATTGGTGCATGAAATTAAGCGCATGCAGTAAAATGAGCGTCATGCAAATAAATGTGAACATTGCAGTAGGCAAAAAGACCACCACGTCATGCAGGTGCGCGCCGTGCCCGGCATGTGAAGGTGGACGGCAGCAGCGACGGCAGTCACTCTTCCCGCCCACCTTTCACACAACCTGAAGATGCCGGGAGGCCTGTCTTCAACCCTCCTTATTTTCATACTTACACCAGGAAATTCTAGGACTGTGCTACTTGCTGGGAGTATGAAGACAGGTCCTCTTCCAGAGATATAGGGGAGCCAGAGGAGGGCATAACGTGGGGAAAGGAGGCATACCGTGGAAAGGGAGGGAGGCATACCGCGGAAAGGGAGAGGGGCATGACTTAAGAATTAGGAAAGGGGGGAGGGAAGCTGCAGGCTGTATGGCTGGCTGGCGTACCATGGTGAGCCTGGAGGCAGACTGTGAGCGAGCCACCTGGTGCCCTGGAGGCCTCGGTAGATGTGACGTATGGGCTGAGGGTGGGCGTTGTGGGTGGTAGGCGGCCGGAACGTTGGTGTGGGTGTGGGAAGATCTCAGGAAGCGTCCAGACCCTCTCAGCGCTCTGCCAACGTTGAGTCCTGACACGTAATCACTGAGGTCTGCCTCTGACAAGCTGGATTCCTCGTCCTCGTCGTCCTGATGGGTGTAGGGGAGTCAAGTCTTGTTGGCCAGCACACCCAAGCAAGATAAAGGAGTAACTTCTCCCACAATACGATAAGGGAAAAGTGTGGAAGGCTTACTTCCCTACTGTCAGCATCTGGGCCGGAGTTCACTTCAAACACCTGTATAACTACAAGACTAACATGTGGTGCTGGAAACCGTTATTCTGCATACCATCGTACATTTATATACAACTCTAATAACCATTTTACCATAATTCGCATATAGATGTCAGAGCTGCTTGAACACTCGTGTTAAAACATGATGCGACCGTTTTATTAAGTTTAATTGGAAAGTTTTAAAAAATGATACAATGCCGCTACCCAGATTGGTACACAACTTTACCTAGTCTTCTAACATATGTCCAAGCGCGTACAGTTTTAAATTTACAGATTACTAATCTCAACCTTCCCAGCATGAAATAGAAAGCTGGAGCGGAAGGCTCCAACGACCAAAAACTCCAGCTGCGGGTCATGTAACCAAAACCCGCATCAGGAAACACTTGTCCTGTTTCCTGACAAATCTACCTAATCTAACCATGGCATGGAAATGTTATAAAACACTATCAGGTTAAACAGTTTATGGTGTACATGTTAAGACAGGAGATCTCGCCCATTGGAAGTCCTCAAGTTCGTCTAGTTGATTATACACAACTGTATCCGAACCGCATTAAAAACAAACTTGGTGAAGTCCCAGCTTTGTATTATTTACTTTAACAACAGTAATGTAAAATCTAACGCAATGAAGATGTCTAGTTGTCAAGCTTGGTTTCTAGTTATTACTAACAGGATCGTAATTAAAAAAAAATACGAGTGCCTGCAAACATTTTACTGTCCACTTGCACACAATTTACAATATTTGCACCGTGAGTCACTACGATACAGGTACCGAACGTCTACATGTCGTGCTAGCTACCCACCGCACTTGGTCCTAAAGCGCAAATTTAACGTGCTTAACTTAAAATCTGCTGTAAAACTGTCAGTCGGCGTTTTAGCACATTTTTTCTGACCACTGCCAACGAGGGTGTTTGCCGACAAACGAGAATCAACTACAATATTGTCAAGCAGATATCTAAGCGGTCACCGACCAATGTATGTTCATTATTTTTTCAACAGCACCTTATTCCCATTTTAAAGCGAGGCTGTTAGAATTTTCAAGCTGTCAAGAACTGCAACTTGCTAGTCCTGATCTGGTCTACAATAAGATTTATGACGACTGCAAGTTAGTAAAGACATAATAACATACATTTGTTTTCAAGTATAAACTCAGAACTACGCTTGTTTTCAAAGTTCAGCCATTTGACGAAGACCTTCAAAGACCTCCAAGCACAACTTTCAGACGCAGGACCTGCGAGAACAAGGATTTTGCAAAGCGTTATCGGAGCGACAGTAGTACATTATGAAGAGTTTCCAGCACCTACAACTAACATATTGATACCAATAAAAGCGTGTATTGCACGTGGCGTGGTCTGCCTCTTGCTCTCATTCACGGTTCCGTCAGCCATTCCCCTCAAGCGAAGACTGACACCACTGGGTGAACATCTGTTGAAAACCTCACAGGGCATAATGCAACCCCTACTGAACACGCAAATATTGGTTGTTTACTTTAAAGACGGACCAAAGTATAAGCAAATTTTTTAACATCCAAATGGGGGAAAGGATTATTTGTAGCGTGTATGAGAGTAAGACACTGACGTCCAATATAAACTAGCGAGCTCCCTGGAGGGTAGAGCTATTTGGAACATGAGGTCATGCACGCTCTCAACCTCATAACATGAAGTCCAAGTCTCATTCCCCGGGTATGGATATAACCAAGTACAACTCTACAGCCAAGCTCCAGTGTTGTACTCTACCCACACTATGCTTCCTCTATACCGTAACGTCTAACCGTACAATGAGGCACTTGTAAGTGGGTGCTACATGCGTGCATTTGTGAAGTGATAAAGTGTACAGGAGTGAGTGAACAATTGTTGTAGGGCTGTTCGTGACCCTGCCAGAGGAACGCGTGTTGGTTATGAGTAATAGCAAGTTGGTGGGCATAACTGTGCATAGTACATGCCTTGTGGTGTAGGTGCTGTGGTGTGCTGTAGGCGTGCCAACCTTAGTGGTTGTATGGTGAGCTACAATAGTGGCGGTACTTACAAATTTTGTGGGTGGTGGCATGGCGTTCTGGTCCTGTGGAGCTAAGTCGGGATTGAGGACGAACACCGCATCAAATTCGATCTGAAAATAAAATGGAAAAATACTAGCAAAGTAATTATTGTGTAACAAAATGTGTATAATCAAAACTGGCCTAAAAATGGAGTACTGACCTTTCATTCTGGTGCATGGCAAATAAATAGCCTTGACATCCTTTACAGACTATACCAGAATTTGTACGAGTGACATTCATGGAGGATAAACCTGTGAGCTTGTGTAAACCAATTATTTTTGCTGCGGCAACGACACCTATCGCTGACTAGCTTCACAGGTTTCCTTTCAGTCCTGAACGAGATTTTAAAAGTACTTTTTGCCATCGTTCCGCTGCCTCCGTGAACTGAGTCTAGGTCAGCAGTTTTTAGTAACTTTGTAATCACCTTCGAAAAACTAAAGCTGCGATGTTCCTGTAGTATTTTGCAAGTTATTATTTCTTATAACTCAGCATCCCACGAATCGTGCCTAGATGCTGCGTTCTAGCCGTTGCTAGAACAAATTCACCGAAAACCAACACATAGGAGTAACCTTTGGTGAATTTGTTCTAGCCACGACGTTTAGGTCCATCCTGGAACGTTGTCAGTAGCAACGAAATATTAATTTAGTTCTTCACTTCCCAAGTGCGGGTTTATGATAAAAAAAATTTCGCGAGATCTAATACGCGAGATAATTTCCAAGGTAGAATTTATGCGGCGACCGTGCCGTGAAAAACAGGCAGGCCTGTCTTGAACTCATGATTTTAAGCAAACTACTAAGGCAAGATTTTCTTTCATTCACTCATTTCTTGGTCCTGTGTAACAATTTGGAAGCCAACATAAAATATATTTATGTAGATTTTACGCAGCCATTAAATTGGAATGTTACCATATTCTTTAATAACTTGTCAAGAATGGTATGGGGAAAATTATTTAAATTTATTCCGAATGTAATAACTATTTTGTACTGTTTCGCATCAGTAATTTGTGTCGACTTTCTTCCCTTGTTTGTGACATTTACGGCCTTTTCAGCAGTTCTACTGTAACTTTTAAAACTGCGATTACTGTGACAACTTTCTCAGCGCGACTTTCAAAGAACTTTTAAGCTTCCGAGCTCAACTCTTCCGTGCACTTGTCAAGATTTAGTGTTCAGGAAACTTACTAGAACAAGTTTTATTAGTTTTTTTTTTATTCTGATCATGTCAATTGTATTACTGTAGTTCCTTACGCTTTGATCACCACCACCACCACCACTCGTAACCTGTCAGTTGTCTACCTACTTGATGGTAATTCAGAGAATCATCGCCCCCAGGTCCTGCACCAGGCTGGCTACGGTAGCTGACAGCCTATCGCGATCAAACTGTTGGTGTTTCTGTTAATGACAAGTAAGGGTGGGCCAGAGTTTGATATCCGAGTACTAACCAATTTTTATGGTATCAGTATCGGCGAAAAAAATTGTATCGGCCCATCCCTCGACGCCAGCATAGCCCTTAGGACTTACGACTGACCTGTCCTAGCTAGCACCAACAGTTACAGGCATGCTCAATTAAGTCTCCTCAATGCCACATACACTTGCCCTGGGAAGTGGTGACCAATGTATATCCCGCACCTCCCCAATATACTAGTATTAGACAGTGGCAGCACACTGCTGAGCCACTGGGAAGCTCCTTATCTATAGGGAAAACCTACGTCCTGTCTTCAATTTAGTCTAATAAATCTATTCATTCTCTGAGTACCTTTATTCATACTGGTCCCGTACAAGTAATAAACTTAATAACCCAGCATAAAATTACTGCCAAGCCTAATTTTGAAGTGAAATGAGACATAAGTTACTCAAAAAGACCAACACGCTACTCTTCATGGGTAAGAGGAATTACCAACAGACTCCTAGTTATCTTCAAGAGGAAAAGATAAGTTTATCGAGTAATTTCCTGACAAGCCGGGTTGTTGGGATTACGTTGAACAATAATCAGCCTGATCGGGCCATCAACCAGAAGGCCAGGTTTGGCCACGAGGTCGATGACCCCCAGGAATCAACTAAAACTTGCACATGTGGAAATTACAATATATAGCCAGATAGTAATACAAATAAAACACCCGAATATACATGCAGTATAATGTGATTATTAGGCTTTATAGTCACAAACAGGACAACCTGGGTAAACAGTACAAGAGTATATATGAGTGGAGAGTACGGTGAAGAATGTTGGATAGGTTATATTTGAGACGGACCTGCACGGGACGGGCGAGTGTATGTTTTATAGGATCATGAAGTTTCCTGTGTATTTTTCCACCGTGTCGGTATTTTATACCATTTATCTCAAACACCCGAGTAGACACCATGTATGCCACTTTATAAATAAAATCTAATATCTCTCACACACACACACACACACAACACACACACACACACACACACACACACACACACACACACACACACACACACACACACACACAGTTAACTATAATGTCAACTAGGCTGTTGATGCTAGAGGTCAGCAAGTCCAGTGTCATCACAACCTAGCTATGTTTGTCTCCTACAAGACAATGTCCGACAATTTAAGAAAGAATACTCACCTCTTTTCCTTTAGTTTCTCCCTTTTCAAACCATTCTACTGTGACGCTCCTGGCGGTAGGATTGACGGCGGAGACCGTCGCTGAGTGAACACGACCTATAGACAAAGAGGGTGCAGGAATTACTATACAGTCAAAATTTACAACTGCCATTAACTGCATTGCCAAAGCTAATTTCAAGATACTTCCTCCTAATTCTGAAATGAAGCTTTAGTTTAAAAACAAATTATTCTACGTTCTGTATAATAATTTCTAATTTTCTAAACTAATCAAGTTTCCATAAAATTTATATTTAAGTTTAAATATAAAAGGCATTGTACTTACCTGAGCGTTGCCTCAAACTCCTTCCCTCGACCATAAACAAGAAAATTCATCACCGTGTATAGTGCGGGACAATGTAGTACCAAGATGTATCTAACTGTGGCGCCTGTCCTGGTGTGAAGGCAGCCTCGAGGGAAGCCCTCCAGTTTACCAGGACAGCTGGCACATGCGCATGCCTAGTTAGATGCACCTCAAGTTCACTCCTAACCTCTATTAAATGTCTTCCCGCTGCTAAGTATTACCTACCTAAGCTTTTAAACCCAACGACAAACCATTTATGGCTTCAAACATTTTTGTTTCAAAGTGTGCCTGCATATCTACAAGCACACAAGAACATGCATACGAGTGAAAAACTCAGTCTAAGTAGCATAACCGAAGTTAAAACACTGGGTAGATGTATGTAACGTTTAGAACATTTAATTGAAGGCTATGTTTCAACAGCCAAGAGCTTTATAAATACTTCGTGTACATAACAAGACAGTGATAATCAACATGTATGGTAGACTGGTGAGGTTTAAGAGCGGGGCCAGAACGCTTAGATATAATACATTCAACAGCAAAATTGTACACGTAAATGAGCATAGAATACAAGATTTGGGAGATTCGTAAAAAAAAAAAAAAAAAAAAAAAAAAAAAAAAAAAAAAAAAAAAAAAAAAAAAAAAAAACTGGGGTCTTACAACTTTACAACACTTCAGAAATGAGGCTTAATTAACATTTACTCCAGAAGAGACTTACTTGTCATACCCGCGACCAATGTTCATAGTTTTTCTACCTTTGCAGCTCAGCCTGGGGGCAGGCTTTAGTTGACTGCCTGTTCATTCAGTCTGCTGTTATTTATTGCTGGCCCCATGGGCCACATCCCTCACCGACTGGTTGACGCGGCAATGTTTCTTGGTATCTGTTGCTGCTGCTGCTAGTAGGTTTTACATGGAGTCGTTTTCGTAAGTCAGCGGCCCTATGCCCAGTCTCAGACCAGGACTACTGGCCTGATCAATCAAGTTGGGCTACGGATGTTAACAGTATTCTTATTGCTGTCATGGCGCAACTGCGTTCTACTGGATCTATTTCAAACGTCCTCCCGTAACTCACTCCAGTAAATTTGAGCACAATCAGGCAGTAAACGACCTCTGTACCTTTACCAGCTTTGTATCTTTCCTGGTTTTAACGAGCCTAACAAATATTCTAAACGAGAGCACAAATTCAAATAGTGTCACCACTGGCATTTACCTTTTCTGAAATTTCTCATTATCCACCCTGTCATTTTCCTAGCCTTTGCGGCATTTATCTTGTGTTTTCTGGCGGGTCACCGAGGCACAGTAGTAGAGTGCGTGTGGCAGTGCACCAGCAGTGACCTTCAATAGGACAGGCACCATACACTGACCTTTACCTACAAGTCGTTTGGTCCAAAATTCTGGAATGCAAATTTTCACCCCAGATAACTAACTAGGGATGAGACTACCAAAATTTTAGTCCGATATCGTCGATACTTTGGCACACTCTTAATTCTATCACTTCAAGGAAGGTGCCAAGATCGGAGGAATAAGATTCCCCCTCCCCCTTTCTTGAGACATGGATACCACCTATTTTCCAGGCTCCAACTAACCTTTTAGAGATTTCCCGTCCCACATGAACAATTTTAACAGTTGTTTTAAGGGCATATACTTCTGACCTGTTTCAATTGTCTACCCTCGTAACCGGCCAGGAGCCAGGCTTTCTGCTAACTTATTTATTAACTAGGCGGCGGCTCAGCAGCAGCAGCAGGCCCAATACATCCATCACTTTGATGTGAACAAGACTAGTTATTTAAGAGACGTGAGTAAATACTAGGACATTAGAAAACTTTACTGTCCTTTACTATCACTTCAGAAGATGAAGGTCCCAACCTGGAACGCTTACTAATGTCCTATTGTTTACTCACGTGTCTTAAACCATGTATATCAAGAGTCCGGTTGATCTGACACTTGGTGGCGAGGACAAGAAGCTAATTGTGAAGGTTGTGAGGGTCGAGTGAGTGCTGGTAGAGGAGACAAGAGCTAGTGGAGGGTAGTGTAGAGGCTGCGAGGGGCAAGCGAGTGCTGGTGTCGAATACAAGTGCTTGTGGAGGGTTGTGTGGAGGTTGTGAGGGAGGAGGGGGGGATGCGAATAAGTGTTATAATGTCAGCGTCACCTCAAGGGAGCAACAACTCTACACCAATGACACCAGTGACCTCCCCGTCACGTTCCCCTTATGCCACTTATCAGCTGCCTTCACCTTTTCTTACCATGCTAAACTTATATATGCACTTTCCTGCGACTGAATGGGACCAACCGCTTAGCTCTCCCCCGGTCCACGCATTTGTGTAGGTGCTCAGGCTTTACTTATGACCTGTGCAACAAATTACTTCGTGTCACTGGACCTGTGCTTTATATTCCTGGGGAGCGCAAAACCCGTAGAGGTCACAGCGCTTTTGAGAATGGAAGGCATTCAAGCTCAATTCAAGGAGTTAGAGTACAAGTCCGATTCGTCTGATTAAGAGCCCTTCACCAGCATCAAGGAACCTTGGAAATAAATGGTATAAAATACCGACACAATGGAAATATAAACACACATGCAGTATAATGTGATCCTTTATTGACTACGTTTCGCCCACACAGTGGGCTTTTTCAAGTCACAAACAGAACTACCTGGGGTGGAAGGAACGCGAGTATTTATAGTCAGGTTCAGAATGCTGAGGTCAGGTGGAGAATGCTGCATCTGATGTACCGAGTTGGAAAGGAGATTGGATAAGTTTGTGAGCAGACCTTCTACAGTGTTCTTATGTGGGATAGCGATGAAGTTTCTTGGCAAGTGGTTCAGCTATGTTATAGAAGCCACTATTCTGGTTGAAGTTCTCGGATATAGAAATGTGATGATTCCAGGGTTCTTCGGTATTGAGTGTTGTCTTCTGTGGCGATAAGTCTTGAGTTTCTGTAGTTTATCAAGTGGTTGTGTGAATTACAGTGTTGTACGCAGGCATTCCTTGTATCGTCAGACCTACTTGCATATTGGTGTTCTGAAATACGTGTTTGGAGGTCCCTTGACTTATCGCCACAGAAGACAACACTCGATACCGAAGAATCCTGGAATCATCACTTATTTCTATATCCGACAACTTCAACCAGAATAGTGGCTTCTATAACATAGCTGAACCACTTGCCAAGAAACTTCATCGCTATCCCACATAAGAACACTGTAGAAGGTCTGCTCACAAACTTATCCAATCTCCTTTCCAACTCGGTACATCAGATGCAGCATTCTCCACCTGACCTCAGCATTCTGAACCTGACTATAAATACTCGCGTTCCTTCCACCCCAGGTAGTTCTGTTTGTGACTTGAAAAAGCCCACTGTGTGGGCGAAACGTAGTCAATAAAGGATCACATTATACTGCATATGTGTTTATATTTCCATCAAGGAACCTTCCTTAATGACTGGGTCTGTGCAGCAAATGACTCACGACCTGTGCAACAAAGGTACCATTGAAGAATTATTCACGTGCAGCATCTATTTGTAGACGTTTCGCCATCCAGTGGCTTTATCAATACAAGGACATCAGGTGAATATTATTTACCATTCACGTAAAGGTACCATTACGTTGCCCGTACTTTATACAAAATGTTTTAACTGCCTAGTGATTAATCTTATTATTCGAAGTTCTGCGAGAAACGTAAAATTTCTAGACGTTTTATGTGGTGTTTACCTGCTGACATAATCAGATGAAGTTAATTACATGGGCTTCAACTTTACCTAGGTCATCTGTGGCACCAACTTTTGAAAGGTGCGCGGCCAGCACCAATCGCCTAAGTTAACAAGCCATCGACCTGGAGTCCCAGTCTGGGATCGGGGCGTGGGGGCGGTGATCCACGGAGTCGACCACTGGTATTTTTTTAAAGGAAAAAAATCGACACCTTTGCAGCGTTTAGGTATTTCAGCTACGGTCGGATGACCGAGAACTTCAAGCCTCGTACTAAGGGTTGATAATTACCGGTCACAGAAAGACTAGCTAAAAAATTTTTTTTCAAAACGTTGCAAATGGATCCCCATTTATGTAAACTGACTTGGTATACATATACCCCTTCATCCACTCATAGTCGAGGTAGCCATAGAACGTTGGTTAGGGTCATAACTCACCACATGTCACCCACCTTCCGCATTCCTAAGTTCCCTCCAGTGTGAGCACGTACTGAGGCCAGGCAAGAGCCACTCAAAGCTTCCTATAGCAGCTATATACATCTACAAGTTACACTGGAGAAACGTTTCCTCAAAGGTTCCCAATTGTTGCACAAATCTTATTCTTCAATTTGTCGGTTTTCTAAACTACTTAATAACAAAGGAGTTCAGATTTATTTTTGTACCTGTCATGAAGAGTCTTTCTGAAATGTACAAGGGCAACACTGTCCCATTCTACCTAAAAATACCAATACTGCATTTATATTTAAATTCACGGGGACGCATTAAACCAGTATGAGTAAAGACGTTACTGTGGTACACCTGCGAGCCCATTTCGAGGAATCTCTAAAGTATAAGCCTAGCCTTCATGCAAGCTTCCTTGCAGTGCTTGAATGGCCCGCAGGCCAACAGGTTTCCTTCTCATATTTCATTGTTCTCGACGGGTTTCCATGTCATATTTCGTTGTTCTGGACGGGTTTCCCTGTCATATACCATTGTTCTGGACGGGTTTCCTTCTCATACACAGCTATCACCTTTACCTTTGATGAGTTCCGAGAGTCTTTCTACTCCCAGCTGGCCAGGCTCGTC